GATAAACACCCCTGGTGTAAATTTGACACTATAAAAGTGGACGAGTAAGACAATACATAATTGAGGGTAGTTGTAATTATGCAAACAAGGAGGTTTTTTCGTAATTTGACCTTACCTCAAGGGGTGGCCGAAATTTGCCCTATACTTATATTACCCATAATTGACCCATAAAATGCTTGCCACGTCCTTTATGCCCAACAACCGTAGTCTCGTCGATTTTTCTCTCCACCACTTATTATCTTTCTTCAACTGAAAATCAGGCGGCGGCCAAGGAGAGGAGAAGGCGGCGCCATGTCTCGACAACGACGAGGGAATACCCCACGACCCCACTGCCGCCGCCACTCCTTCATTACACCTCTGCCCGACTTTCACTCCTCCATTCCACCTTTGCACCACTGTAGTCATTTCATATCTTCCACGTACGCAATTTTATGGTTTCGTTTCGTTGAAGATTGGATTTGCAGGTTGTGGCAACTTATGTTTCGTTTTTTATTCGTTCTAGGATTTCTCTATTGTTGAGTTGAAGGGAAGATGAGAGGAGGGCTATTCTAATTAATTTTGTGGCTATGATTCTTCTTCTTCTAATGGTTTTATTTTGCTAATTGATTGCAATTTTTTGAATTTTTTATTTGAGCACTTTTTTGATGTTTAGTTTTTTTATGCTTTTGATGTTAGGTATTTTTTAAAATAATATAGTTGTTTTTGCTATTCTGTTATTTCTCATAGTTGTTTTAATTATTCTTGTTTTAATTATTTTGCTATTTTGATTAGTTGTTTCCGATTTTTATTTTGTTTTTACATTTTTGGTTCATTTTCGATTTTTTTTAGTTGATTTTGATTTTTATAATTTTTTTCAATAATATGACCGACTTGCTGGAAAAAAACATTTGCTAAAAAAATTTAAAAAACATATTTTAATTAAAAATTATTGTAAAATTATTGTTTGAAAAAAATATAATTAGTTTTTTTTAGAACAGTTTTCGTGCATAGGCCATATAGGAGGATCTAACCGTAAGACTGTGTTGAATTTTAGATATTGTGTTCGTGATAAATCAATCCACGTTGTGAATGGTGGAGATCGAAATCGAAATTCTCTAACTACTAATCAGATGCTAAAATAACCGTTGTTGTTTTCTGTTACTGAAAATTTCGGGCAATTTAATTAGATACGTTTTTCGTGCAATTGAACGGTTGGATGTGATCGAGATTTGAACAGAATATTTAAAGCATACTGTCATGGGCCGCACATTTCTGCATAGAGTCAAGGGCTAGAGTTGATCCATCAAGCAAGATCAACAGAAAGTGGTCGAAGAGTAGAGAGCTTTAGAAGATCTTCTAAAATCCTCTCAGTAATGTAAAGATGATAAGAGTTGCTCATAGTTATTAGATCAAGATGATCGCAACTATCCGTTGAGGAGTTGAAATTGTATAAATAATGATAATCTCAGTCATTTGTAATCATCCTAAGAATCCGCATTTAAAGAAGGATAAATTACAACCACCCAGAGGTAATGCATAATTACGAAGACAAAATTACATTTAACCCCCAACACTTAACAAATGCAAGAAAATCCTAACATAAATTGTGGTTTGTCCAAATTACCCTTCATGTTAAATTATTAAAAAAAAATGACAACTTGAAAAGTTCTTCCTTCCCATTTGTACACTTAACAAATGCAAGAAAATCCTAACATAAATTGTGGTTTGTCCAAATTACCCTTCATGTTAAATTATTAAAAAAAAATGACAACTTGAAAAGTTCTTCCTTCCCATTTGTTTACAGTGGTGATGATTTAGGGTTTGGGCGGAGCCACTTCCCGTTTGTTTACAGTGGTGATGATTTAAGTTTTGGGCGGATCCACTTCCTGTTTGTTTACAGTGCTGATGATTTAGGGTTTGAGTGGAGCCGTATATGTGAGACTATAGGGTAATTACGCAAAAAGAGGCCATTTTTCGTATTCTATATTTCTCTTTCGTATTCTATATTTCTGTTTATAACCTTTAAAAAATAAAGAATTCCTTTAATTGGGGTGCTAGTTACTTGGGGTGCTACGAAGGTACAGAACAAATGAAAATAAACTTAAAATATTTAAAATCTCATTTGAAATTCTATATAAAATAGAATGAAATCCATTTTTTTCTCCATCCTTCAAATTGGAAACCCTCAACCAAATACAAAACTTTAGTTCCGAAAAAATTCTTGAACAAAAAATTGATGAAATTTTCAAAAGATAGCTAATATTGAATCACAGCAAAAATGCGATACCAGAAGATGAGAGGTAGAATGGCAAGCAATATTACAATCAATCACCGGTGCAAGTAATTTTAGCTTTCACCCTAAATCCAAATAAAAAAAATATTTTTTTTTTTTTAAAAATTAAAAAAACGAAAGGAGGATTCATACAGTTAACCTTCTCATGGTTTATCAAGCGTTCGATTCTTAAACTTGATTTTGATTTTATGAGACGACGGTGCACTAGCCGTTGTGGCACCTACACTGCCATCAGTTCTGGGAACAACCGCATTCACCTCACCTTGTTTGGGTTGTATATTTGAGACATTACTTTCAGAATCATTTATCTTTTGTGAAGATTCCTTTGCAGAAGCAGCAGAAGCAGCTCTTTCCCCACCAACAATATCTTGTCTAGTTTCAGGTTCGAGTACACCTTCCACTGTCTTTTCATGACTTGGCAAATTGATCGAAGGCACAGTTTTCGGTTCATCGGCAAGGATTTTCGCCAACTCTTTCTCCTTTCGCTTCTTTTCCTTCTTTTCCTTCTTTCTCCGTTTCATTTCCGCGCGCTCCGGATCATCACTGTGGCCGTTCTTTTTTCGCTTCTTCTCCTTATCTTTCTTCTTTTCCTTGTCTTTATCTTTCTTCTTTTCCTTTTTCTCCTTGTCTTTTCTCTTTTCCTTGTCTTTGCCAGAACCATCCTGCTCTGTGGGCCCCGATGGGCCTTCAATATCAGTTTTCACGTTGTCGATAGGTAAATCAACATCGGGTGGAAGCGGTGGTGAAGAGACTTTGCTTGAATCTGCAGTGCACTGCAATTCCTTCCCCAGTTCTTCACCGTCAATTGTGGGCTTAGCACTGCCTATACTGACGGTTACTCTGGAGCCAACTTCATCTTGGCACGAATTGAAATCCTCAAAGTTGTGATGACCAGTGCTGACAGTCTCGGCGAGATTTCTGTGAGGAGCATCCACGGATACTGAACTCGTTGCTCCATTATCGGCATCTCTAGTGCTCAAGATTCTGGTTTTATCAGGATCCTCAGCCTGAGTAGATGATTTAGGAGGATCTTCGGCTCGATTGTTAGCAGCTGACTGTTTGACCCTTATCTTTAGCTTTGGCTTCTTGAGTTCATGACTACTGTTGGCAACAGTTTCGGGTATTTTGATGGCTTCCTCTTTGACCAAACTATCATGTACAGGAGGGCCAAACACCGTTTCAGTTTCCTGACTAGTGATAAACAAACTGTCTGTTTTTCTGGAAGTTTCTGCATCAACCGAAGCTTCACCTAAAGAGTTGGTACGAATTGGCTCATGAACTTCAACAGGCATTTGCAGTTTTGGCGTCAATAACCGATCATCTTCAGGAAAATATGGCACTGAGTTCCCTAACTCAGGAACGTCATCAGGGGCATGTACAAGCGGTTGAGTAGCTAGAATCAAAGGTGTATTATCAGGTGCAGTTGTTGTTGTCAATACTGCATTACTCAATTCATGATTTTCAAGAAAAGCATCTGCCTCCGTATGGCCTTCTGGAACCAGGAGATTGTGTGGAAGGTCTGGTGCACAAGAAGAAGGCTCCGGAATCTTGGAATGGTTAATAAGAGCGGCAAAAATGTTTTTAAGTTCACTGCATGTCTTCGTGTGTCCCATCCTCAATGTCTCGTCTCTTGGAACCCCGTAAAGTGTTGGAGCCCTAAATATGTGTGATGTAATCAGTAAATATATTTCAAAAGCAAGCAGCGGACTAGTAAAAAAAGAAAATTCACAAGCCAGACGGACTAGTAGTAATTATTGGGACTAATAGTTCCATCACCAGTCCAGATAAAAGTTTAAAAAAAAAAATTCAAAGCAGAGTTGGGACTTAAATATAGTTGTAGTTCATGATGAGGAATCTAAGAAAACTCCACCCCTTCTACAATGGTTTATAGCTGCTTTATCCTAATGAAATAAAATCCTTGGCAAGTTTGAGGCAAGACTAACCACACCCTATCGGCAGATAATTAAAGAATATATATCCCATCGTGTCGTATCATATAATAAAAATATAGTATAAAGCTAACAGAATAATTAATGTGTGGTAACAAAGGGTTGCAAGTATAAGCACCTTCTGGCAAGAACCTGCAAAATGCAGAAGATGTAGTGACGAAGCGTAACATTGTTAAAAGCCAGTGGGCTCTCAAGCAAGCGTAAAAGGGCAACAAGCGTGTCACTCTTCACATCATTGTCGTAACCGGATGGACCAGTCAGCTGAGATAGCCGCAAAGCACATACTCCTAATTTATTTTGTCCTAAAAATAAGAATGAGCTTATTCAGAATGAATCGCATACTCAGCTACTCGGCTGGATAAACTGGAAAACCAGTATTAAGGCATGTGATTATTAACACCACAAAAACTTATTTCCTCCTGCGCTATATGAGTAAAAAGAATGTAAAAATGCATGCAACAAAGGAGTGACGCAGAAAGAGAAAAGCATATAAAGAAACACCTCGCAGAGAGGTCTCTTCGTTAGTGTATCTGATGAACAGAGTCAACGCTGCATCTGTTCCTTTACACTGAAATTCAAGTTCAAGAAGGGCTCTATTTGCAGCAACTCGAATTTTCCATGTCCTTGATAGCTGATATGGTTTGATAAGCTCAATGACACTATCCTGGACATGTCAGCACACACCATGTCAGAAATGGCAAGTTAAGATCACCTAGAAGATAAGCGGAAAACTTACAAGAGCTATGAATTCTGATAGTTTGAGTGCCATTTGAGTCAGCGATTCGATACAGCTGATTGTCAAAATCCCGTTGTGGCTCGGCATTAACCTATTATTCGCAATTTCATAAAGAAGAGTTTTACATAAATAGATGTGTTTCTGCAATCACATGTCGATAAGTGGTACCTGTCGAATTGAAGAAGACGATCAAGCCGCTTCAGAAGTGATGGCAAGTAGGCAATACTCTGCCACAAGATAAACAAGAATTAGAAACTTAAGGTTCTGTCCCTCTGAATTAAACTAAGTAACAGCAATTATCGGAGTGAACTAGATCATACCTGCTGCCCAAATTCAAGTTCACCGACAGACTGGACCAATGCAGCTACCCAGAAGACATCCGAGTATGTGTTTCCATTGTTATCATTGTACTACAAGCAAGATTAACCCAAAAATTAAGTAAGTGTGTCAAAAAAATCTTTATAATAGATACCAGGAAAAATCAACAAAAAGCACTCCCAGTAGAATGGAAATATTTCCAGCCAAATATGAACTTGGCTGCTTCTGGAATATGATGTCAGGCTATTATACAATTTATGGTAAATTTCACAAATAACTCATGTAACCAATCTTTTACAGCACAAGACCCTGCAGACTCGCAATTTTTTCAAAGAAATCTATTATGAAACATATAGACAATGGAGAAAGTAAACTATTTGTTCAACCAAGATGAGGCCCAATGCAAGAAAGCAAGGCGAAAAGAAGGGTATACACTTGATAGAACTTTGAGAAACCAATTAAGAACCATAAACCAATCATGTAATGCAAAAAATGCATTTCCTTCAAATGTGTGCCAAAAAAGTTAAGTGTGTCTAAAATGAGCATGCACGTAAACACTGTGAAATAAGGAGATAGGCCCACACATAATTAACGGGCACTCACCATCTACTCCCATTTTCAACCATTTGACAGCAGAAAGAACAATTGGTCAACTCTTTTGACAAATGAAAAAATATAAACCTATGCTCTTTCAGAACCATACACTACTTTATAAGACCAAACAGTAGTTTATGTAGCCTGCGGTTCTAACTAGGCCACCCACATCTTTTAGAAACAAATAAAGAAGCAACACAAATGAAAAACATTGCTACACATGATCACTTATTTTCAGTGGACCATGACTAACATTTATAGTAAGGATTGCCAAACCACTGTAACGGCATTGATCATTAAATAAGAAATAAATACCTTCAGAAGTTGCAAAATGAACTCAACAGCTTCTCTAGGGCTTTTCTTGTCTGAAGATTTGATCATGGCTATGGCATGTGGTATTGCCTGCACATGAAAAGAAGAACTCGCTGACAAGACAATTGAAATAATAGAAGTTTACTCTCGTGAGAATAATAACCTGATAAGAAGTCCTCTAAATTATTTATATAACCACAAGAATCCATTTAGTATTGTCACTTTAGACCCTTTTTATCTTTGAAAATAATGGCCTTATGACATGGCCTTACAACACATGCACCTAAAGTGATTAGAACCCTCGACCTCTCATCAAACCACACTGCAGTAAAGGCTTCAATACCACTTAGGCTAAAGCTTCAGTGATGTATTGTCTCTTCAATCTCAATTGTGGGATTATCTCTTCCAGAGAAATACAATGTCAATGGTTTACCTTGCCAAATAAAACCACACTCTGACATAAAACTCTGTGAAGAGGCAAAACAGTTAAATTTGGTTTTCCTTTTGAAATCCTGTTGATATTCCATTAACAGAACAAAAATGTTCTGAAGCATTCCCATTTTGTTCAGACACTTCTCCCAGAATGAATCTACGATTGTTAAAATATTCAAAAAAAAAAAATAATAATAATTCCAAAATTTTCCCTCTTCAAAACATGATTTTACTGCTACAGTTAAAAATGTCTTTACTAAAAAACAAACAAACATCACTTAAAATTTTCAAATTCTTCTAAAATATTTTTTTCCAAACACATCTAGACATGATTTGTTAAACAGTACTTGAAACGTTGAAACAATATACTCGGCCCAAAAGCAAGCAATCATGCTATAAATCTGGAGTTCTACAAGACAATTCTCATTTTATTTGCAGCAGAATAGTAGGGGACGAAGTACTTTGTAGGAAGCAAATAAATTAACAATGATTGGCACAAAAGGTCAAGGAGAAGCAAAATAACAAAATTTAGATTCTATCGCAACTAAAAATATCACATCCTACCTCAATGCATTACCTCAAGTACAAAGTACTCCTGGAAATCATGAAAGTCATTTGGCCTAACAATGAAAAGGAGTTATAATCAATGCGTTGACTTGATGATTCCACGAGTATTTTCGATTTCTGATCTTACTTAAACAATTTACCTGGGAAGCCCGATGTTTGGATCAAATCTCCGACTTTTGTAGAAGTTGATCAGATGGAGTAAGCCAATCCAGTCAGTGTCCTGATTAGATGGAGTAAAGCAACATTAAATTGAAAACCAATATGCAGTAAAACCCAATCAAACACAGTGAAAATATATGAGTGACACTCAGAAAAACGGTTGTTAAATTATCAATAGCACCACTAGTGAACACGACAATAATCACTAATGAAAGAGATGCTGGCTTTATAACCTGCTCAACTGAAATATAGAAAAGAGAAATTGACACTGGATCAGCTTATTGCATCAACCACAGAGTGAAATAAGTAATCTAAAGGAAACATACGCATCTGAGTCCACACACAGACATTACAAGGAGACATGTAAAGGCAGCTTTAAAGTGATTCATCTCAGAACCAAAACCATGTAGGCATTTTCATAGCAAAGAATAACACATTCAAATTTCCGTCGAAAATAAAATGGACGGAAAGGATATTATTTAACAACTATAACTGGAGCACATTTGTATTAGTCTAAAAAAGAATAATTTTTTTATGAAAAGGAAGCATTTAAATTTACCTCAGATGTGGTAGTAGCCAATGCGTATGCAGCCTGTATTCGCACTCTCCAGAAAGCCTGAACAATAGAAGTTGAGAAACAGAGTTGAGTGGACACAGATAAGAGACACAGTAACACCTAAAAAAGAAAGGCAAAGGTTGACAAAAGGACCTTGGAGTCACTGAGAAAATTATTCAGAGCATTAACAACAGAAAATGAAAGTTGAGGCAGTGCCTCTAATACAGATATAGCTTGTGCCTGAGCAACAACATCTTTGTCCTTCTCCAACTGATTTATCTACAAAAAGCAAACAGAACAACATCAAGATTCGTGGTGTTCCAGAAATATCAACAGAATGTAGATGAAATATTCAAATTTTTTTGTTGTGAGTGGTTAGCTATAAATTAATCAGTACCGCAAAGGCATTGCCTGAGAGGTATTGAGGTTGGGAGGGCAGTAATAGGTCAAGGGTTATTCGGTATTGTAGGCCGTTAAAACAAACAAACAAACAAACAAAAAAAAAAAAAAAAGAATCATAATTTAATCAATTCATTTCTTCTATAATCAACTTAATATAGTTCGTAATTTCTTCAGACGTGGTGTTGAAACTAGTCATTCCGAAGAACAGACAAATTCACCATACAAATACTAAAACTAAAGACAGAAAACAGTGATTGTTTCACCTATGCATAGCTAAGCAATATTAGATAAACAATAATTCCATATAGATGGAGAGAATATTTTGAATTTGACGACAAATTTCTTTGATTTAGACTTGTTTAATTTATTTTAACGTCGTGCTTATGGGCTGTATAGAGTGGCTCAATTTTGTTTAAGGGGGATTTCAATAATTAGATAATAGTTAGAATCCACCAACAAAATGCTGGAATCAGGTGAAAGGCGTACGAGGCCAAGATGACTATACTAATAACAATTAGCTACTAAAAGTTGATAAATACGCTATAATAGACCTGGTATCAATTTCTTTATATCTAAATAATAAATGTTTTATAATTTTATTGCAAACCTTCCTCAAAAGTCACAGCCGACCATGAAAAGATAATTATTGTATTTTCCCTTTTCCAGTACAATAGAGTTGTTCTCAAAACACTCACCCACATTTGCACAGGTTGGTTAGAATGTACTTCGGCAAGATACTCCATTTCTGGATCCGCGCGGAGCCACAGTAGGGGGGACTCGGAACTGCAGCATCCATTTTAAGAGAATGTTAGTAATACGGCACCACTAGATAAAGATAAAACTCAAATGAAGGCAGGCATCAAAGCATGCTATACAAATACACATACTTTAATCGCACATCTGTTGTGGTCACAGCATCACCATTGTCATCGGAACCATCGTTCTTTGTGCCCTTCTTGGGTTTCTGGAAGCGCTTCGCAGCAAGTTTGGAGTGACACTGAATTTCCAGCAATTGCCATGGTTCACCAGCCATTGGTAGAATTGGATGATCATACATGCCATCGAGCTCATGAACCCGTATACTCATCATCCCAGGCCACCCAACACCTCCTTCTCGATTTTCAGAATCAAGATTGACGTTATCAACGCCGACCAATGAATCAGGTCTAGACGTACATCCCCGCAGTACAGCTATTTCTAACATATTTTTCCTTTTGTTATAAGAAAATCCCATCCTTAATTGAACCAAGGGAAATTGAAAATGAAATGGGTATCAGTAAGAACACTCAAAATTTCAAAAATTATCTAAATAGCAAGTATCCAGCAAGAATCGTACTTCAGCACCGGACAACCACAAGATTCAACCCAGCGAGGAAAAAATTCTTTAAGAAATGGACGCTCAAGATTTCCAATTTTATTAGCGAAGTGTCGGAACTGCCAAATAATAAGCGTCAGAACGATAATGTGATCAACAGTCTGTAACAAATGGTTCAGGCGTATGAATGTAACATGGTGAAACAAGACACTGAATCAAAAGGAATAAAGAAAGAGATATCCCCATAAATGAGAGAGAGCGAGAGAGTGGGTGGCCAGGCCAAACTATTATCTTTTTTTCTCCTTCCACACCTCTAAAATCATCGTCCATCATCAATTGTTCTGGTTATAGACCACAGAAAGAAACAAAAACAGCATATGCTGAAAAACAAGATAGAGGTGGGATTCCTTGATATGTTGGTGTCAATACAATGTAGTTTTAAATAAGCCTAAAACTCTACTCTCGAGGAGAATTGGGCTACATTCAGTCGTGGTATCGAAATTTCAGTCTTTATAATACCTACTATCCTAGTTTCCCCTGCTGCCCTGCTTGATGGCAAGTATTGTTTATATTCCTGATAGTTTTTTTTAATAAGCAAAACTTGGAAATGTTATATCGAAGTGTATTCCTCCCAAAAGCTTGTGAAAATAAGTACACTATATTTTGCTAATGGCGATTCCCTCAAAAGTAACTTGTAGTATCCTTCACCAGATACTGAGTAATACACGTATAGTTTTATCCTAGATTATGTAATGCTTCTTAACTAGCCTGCAAACGCAGTACAAAAATGTGACCGAAAACTTGCTAGCGATTCTCTGAAACTGTAACAATACCGCACTACCCATTCAATGATGGATGCAATGACCGTAAACAATTCGCAAGATTAGATAAATTCGTCCTAAGAACTGCTTTAAATACAACTAGAAAATTTATCAGGAATTCACATTCGAGAAACTTTGATTAAGACTTGGCTATAAGTTGAAATAATCTGCAATGCAAGAAAATCGCATCGGCAGTAATGAACAAGAAAGAAAGCCATTGAGTTACCTCTTTGGTGCTCAGAGTTCTCAAAGAACGACCATCATTTCGAGCCCTCAAAACAATATTTTGTAGAATCTGTAGATGAAGTCACCTATCATCATTATCCCATATGTATACACGAGTATGCCAGATACTTAATAAATGAATACAAACTTCAGTAGCATCATTTGCATATAATAGAAAGGCAAACCGTAAATCCACATGCAAAGAGAAGGAGAAAAAATATTATTCATATGTATATCACCAGTAGCTTATCCACATATGAATTAATTGACGATTCAGACTATGAGATAGATTTTTTTTCTTCAGTAAAAAAATTACGAAGAAATTTACTAAAGTTTCTGCTTGAGTCGTAACTAGAAATAAGTTTCAAGATCATCTACAGTTTCCAGATATTTTCCATAAATATAAGGCAGCCCCATCCGAATGATGATAGAAGAGAAAGAGAGCAGGCACTTTTGTTGCTTAGCATAATCATTAATGAGTATAGAGAAGCATTAATACACTACTCTGCCTTACAAGTTGAAGCAGTCAACATTTGCTTGTGCACTATTTTGTTAAAGAAAAGTCAGGCTTTCTGGTTCTTACTTTACGGAAGGACTCGGGACCCATCTGTTTTTCCAACATTTGAAGAACAGCAACCTATTACATACCACAAGTAATGAGTCATAAAAAGAAACTATGATATCTAAAAAAACTATTAATCCAGCAAAATGTATCTTACAGATTTCCATGATCTTATTTTTCCATAAAATCCAATATATTGGGTTCCATACAAGTCCTTAGACGCAAGAGTAGAGCTCAAGGCAGTTGCACCACTATCATCTGCTTGGCAAACAGCACAATTAGCCTGCAATTACAATAAAAAGAGGCAAAGTTACATCAAGCAGATCTTAGTTTCAGTCATTTTCTTTCCTGGTAAATTGAAAAATAGACCCAAACTATACACAGCATGCACAAGGAGTGTGTATGAATGTGGTGAATGTTTGACAACCTATATGCAAATATCCACTTTCAAAATTTAGACTTCTACAAATATTCAAATACGTTTAAATTTTCAATTAATTTAAGGATGACTAATTCCCAAACAGAGTAGTATATTGCAAGGCACATTTAAACTCATATTCTCTCTAATATTAGAAACATCAGCAATTATAATTTATGGGGTGCTGAAAGAAAACCGGACCTTGTATCTTCTATAGCGTGCTTCATTGTTTCCCAGGAACCTCTTAATAAAAGAATCAGTAAGAAAGCCGGCAAGACCATCCAACAGCCACTCTACAGCAAGTAAGAGAGCAGCTGTATTAGATTAGATCTTTCTACAATTACTGTTCAACATATAAATTAGGATATTACCATCATTTGGAGCTTCAGGAGTGATGTATACTCCAAACCACTGTCTCGCAAGAGCATAAGCAAGTTTAATCCTTGTCTCTATAGTCTGTTCAATAAACCCATCATCAGAAACAAAAATAATTAAAGAAAGCAAGTATATTTTGAAGAAGGGGTTGGGCTGAAAAATTCCATCGAGAGATTAAAACAGTTTAAGTCTATGTGGAGAACAGATTTTAAGAGATTATGACTTGTAAGAACTGATAGCTGAAGCTTGGGATCATAAAAGCTGGGAAGGCGAGATAGACTTGAACAAATACAAACACAAAATTCTTCTCTAACCATGGTCCTCTCCTCAGGAATGTCCCACCCGACGCAAATTATACTTGTCATGGAAGTGTTAGTTTACTGATTTGAAAGCGAGTAGATTGAGTGAATTTCGGTGGCTGAGAAACAAGTAGTTTCCATAATCATCCAGGAACTAGTTATCAAAATCATTTATACCCGTTTTGAAATTATTTTCTGTACTTATTTTCAAGGAAAGCCTAGTTATCAAGGGAGATTTTTCCTCTTAAATGTGGATATCTATCAATCAGCAAAACATTAAAATTTAATGCCATGAAGAAAGAAAAATTAGTTATGTTTAATACTTCTTTAATAATTTCCAAAACCATACTCCTTTTTTTTTTGAACAGACTATATTCCTTGAAATTAGTTTTTCTATGCTATCACAGATTGTTCATTAAACAATTGCTTGACTTTTTTTAAGTGACACAATTAAAGGATTTCACTTCTTATTCCAATAATATTATAGTCTAACGCAAAATTAACAATTACATCATGATAGAATAAATGTGTACAGTGGAAAAACAAAAGTTCAAAAGCTAATCGTGCACAAAAATAGTTTATGCAAATGAAGATTTTCTTTAATGCTCATCAATAAGAAAAAAGTTCTAATACGAGAACCAAAACACAGGGTGAAGTATAAATAACCTACATATCTTAAACTTGAAAGGTTGAATCTTTTATAAACATACCTGATCGATCACTTTCTCATCGAACAGAAGATGAGAACTGAAGATACTTATAGAAGCGCCTGAACTACACGAGGATAGAGTCATCTCGGGAGCAATAAACACTTGCTTGTATGATCCAAATGGAAATGACGCAGAGAGGTAATCCTCATAGTAACTGCTCAAAAATTGTTTATGGGTCAGAAAAAAGTCAAGGGAAATTCCCAACACAAAATAAACTAATACTGCCTTGACAAGGGCCAGTCAAACGCTCGCTAGAAAATTGACTTGCCAAGATCCCCAGTTACATTTGCAAGGGAGAATCAAGGTAGAGAAAGATAAATACTAGGAAATACCTAAAAGCATTATGGAAAAATATAACTGTATTCTGCAGCTTTGACGAGTCAGAAGGTAGAGAAAAATGTGATAGCAGACCACCATGCCGATCAGGAAGAATTTCAAATGGTGCAACTGCCAGAAATATCCACTGAGCAGCAACAGGAACATCTAACTTATAAACATATGTCTTCTGTGGAGGATCATCCTTGGTTAAAACCTGCTAGGGGACGAATTATCAGCACAAAGAAAATATGTCTCTGAAAGGACTTTTTCTAACTAAAAGAACAAGGAAGAATCGGCATAACTTCAGAACACTACCCCGTTTACACATTTGACTTGCCCCTACCAAAAACCTCTGTAATGCTATGTCAACTAAAATGTTATCATCACAAGCACAAATCCACAGGCACAGAAGTTAGAAGCCATGATTACTTGTGCTAGAGGCAAATAATTTTACCCAATTTCCTCAGGGTTCCACCTTCCAAGACACTTGCTCCCTCAATAATCTCCAATTGGCATGCGAAACCAAACCGCTAAACTACATCTAAAGTGTCTTCCCAATTTTTAATAAAAGGACGGCTATAAATGGCAGAAGAACCATTTTCTCTGACAAGAAGTGTCCCTTATTCACAGAGAGGAAGATACTCATTTGATGGTTAGAGGGAAATGGGAATTTTAAGGATTCATAATGGGAAATAAAGATGTCTGGTGTATTAACTGTACTTCAGTTCTCAATAGCAAAACGAACAAAAATCAGTTACAAAAAAACTGGGCAACAACCTAAAATTAATACTAATCGTGTTTTCAGCTATTTGGTTGCCCTAAAATATCTTACATGTAGCATTCCATTCTCAGTACATGTATGTTCCAGAAATTTGTTGCAAAATTAATCATGGCCAGAAAAATTACAACCTTATCTCACCTGATGAAGTAAGGTCCCAGAGCTAACTGCCACAAGGTTACTGGCAACAGTAAATTCCAGGTCGTAGCTAAACAAAACACAGAAAATGACCACATGCATAAGAATACAATGTCATGAAAATGCTTCAAGTTATCAACTTAGCCTTCACATACCAGCAGCTCTGCAAATTGTCATCCAAACAAGGAAACCAGCACCTTGCACGCCGCAACTGGTTATCCGTATGCAAGACAGTGTCGTTAAAATGAAACCCTGTTTCTGCCTTCTCAACCCAATACTCAATACGTATGAGTTTCACATTCTGCAGCCACCTACATGAAAACCAACACACAAGTCAGATATAAACCCCGTCTTCATAAGATTTCTGTCATGGTTCTGGTATATATAAAAGTAAGACTACAAAACCTAGTTAAGCAGTTCAAGTGAATCCAGTTGTCGTGATTACACAGCTATAATTGTTCTAAATTTCAATTATTGTGTGACATGGAAGTTGAGAACTTGAGTTGTCTAGGTTGATCGATATGCTAAAACATTGATCGGGTGCAATATATGGATGCCCCTAACCACCTACTGTGATATCTTCAACATTTCATCACAATTCTAATAAATACATATGTAAGAACTGGATGAATTGAAAAGGTAAAGGATACCCCTTCTCTCTAACATAATTTCATTAGTCATGATTGTTTTGTCGAAATCTTTTCGACAGAGAAAATACCAAAAGCTATCAGGAGCCATACTTCTTTTGTTCAGTCCTCTTAATGAATCCGACCAAGATATAGCCCAACTAGCAGTAACTTGAAGAAAGTCCACCAGTTTTCAACCAAAAAATATAACGAAAGAAACAAACATTGTGATGATAGACTTATTCTCCCTACTTCAGGGGAAAAAAAAGAATGGAACTTGCAAAAACAAATAATTGGGGAGCTTCTTTCCTCTCGGTCTTCAGTTGGTCTATGAAAAATGAAGAAAAGGAAATAGGTGACCAATAATATTATTTTCTAGGATCTTGAGACAACAAATATTCTCTCATTTTTCATGTATTCGGTAATACTTCAAAAATAATTCATCCGTTTTATGGAATCTCTAATACTACGGGGTTAGAAACAACTATATGTTCAGATAAAATTTAACTTTCAAGTAAGATTTGGATATCATTTAATTATATCACCTCATCACAATTATGGGAAAGCCATAGGGATGAGTCGGGAGGGATCTTATTGCAGGAACATGTTAGCATCATGTCAGCGAGGTATACCAAAAATTAGATGCTACCAGTACGACGAGAAAGAAGAAAATAAAAGAAAAACACCAAATAAAGAAAAATCAAATATAGATAAATAATCGTTCAAACCTGGTAGCATCAGCAGGTAATTGTTCCCCATTGTTAGTCTGCGTAAATTCTTCTTGTACGTTGTTGGTTTTAGTCATCTTGCTACACATTATCAGCAAATTCGGAAGTAATTCAATCTCAAGAGATGACAAGTACACAGACCCAGAAGCATCAGCAGCTGAAGTGGTTGATGAGACCACAGACCATCTATCCTTTGGGTCCAGATGCTGATAATGTGGGAAAACTTCAAATTCTGCTGGCTCCCCATCAACTGTAACCTTCTCAATGACCAAATTATCCGCATGCAAACCCACAATTCCATTGTCCGGTACAACTATCTGCAGTTCTGTATACCTGAAGTTGCAGTGCCAAAGCTCATAAGAGAAGTTGCGGAACTGAAGCTTATAAGAGAAGTTTAATTCTGCAGTTTCTTAATTCTAACATTCTACTTCAGGATCAACTAATTCTAGCGAAAATAAGATTTGACAACCCAATGAAATAGCAAATGCAACAAACTTTTCAACTCTGAAACATAACATTCAATTGCTCAGATAAACATACACTAAAAAATGGCCATGAAAGTTAATGTCAAACTGGTATCTGTCTAGTCTATCTATCTAAGATTTTCAGTATTTCTAGAACAAATCTTGTCATATTTATTGATCTGCAATCCAGGTGGAAATATGCAAATCCGATTCAAACTTATATTTCAGTTTTATACGCCATATATACACATAAATACACAAATGGTTTCAAATTAAAAGAGAAGTGGACAAAAATTAAAATGAATAAAGCACCCGAAAATTCGACGGTTGTCCATGTCAATAGAGAGGCAGAGTTTCTGATGCTTGACAACTGCCTCTGAGTTACCATTGTCTCCAGCTCTCTGATCATCATTCTTTGCCTTTTTGGCCTTCGCCATTTGAATATCTGTAGACAAAAATGTAGCATCTATTAATTTTGCTAATCGTTCCAACCCAAGGTTGCAAACGCACTTACTTGAGCCAAATATCACCAATATTCTAAAATCAAAGTACGAACTCCAACCAAAAACTGATCAAGCTCAAGCTCGTTAAATTTTAATATTGACTGTACCAACTCAGCTCAGCTCATACTTCGCCGGAACGCCGCTACATCGGCCGGAACGGGGTTAGTGAACCGGAACGGCTGCCACCGCGACAAAGTTCTGGCATACAGCGGCTGGCGTGTTCTAGAATCTAACAGCGGCGATTAATCCGCCGGAGCGGCAATATATGCCGCTTTCGTGCACCGCGGCGGCGATTTATCAGACGGAACGGACTAAAATGGGCTCGAACGGCTTCCGCCGGTGTTCGTGGTGTGAGTGTGTTGTTGCAGCGGGACTGGATTAGGGCTCGTGACGCCGACTATTGAAGAGAGGGGTCGTGTTTTGTTTTAAAAAATTAAAATTAAAATTGCACAGTTGCACCAAGTCCAACAATTATATTAAGGCTGCGGCTATATGCAATACTCAATCCACTTGTGCAAGACCAAATTAAAGAAAGATTCCAAAAGATTCTATTTTATTAAGATGGAATGCCAAGTATGCCCATAAATTAAATTGACTTTTTTTTTCTCATGTAAGACCAAATACAAATAATGAGAAAAAAAAAAATCGACACCAAGGTGTCGAAAAACTATGTTACAAATCGACACTTAAGCGTCGAATTTCATAGGTAAAAATCGACATTGACATGTCGAATTTGTAGCACAAATTCAAATGTCGAATTTTATACCTAAAAATCGACATCTAAATGTCGAATTTTATACCTCAAATTCGACATCTAAATGTCGATTTTTACCTGTAAAATTCGACCTGTACATGTCGAATTCGTTTGCGCGGGATTTTTTTTGGAAAATCGATATTCTAGCTAAAAAAAACCCATAAATGCATACATTCTTGGGTTCTTTCATCGTAGAATCTTCTATTTTGATGTCTTCTGACTCCATACTTGCCATCTTTGTAAGATTTGTTGAGTTTTGATGATTTTGAATTTCTAGGTTTTGTGGGTTAATGGAGGAGGAATGAGAAAGGTCTTGTGAGTTTTGGAAGATGGAGAAGATGATAGTTGGTCTTGTGGTTTTGTGGTCTTGTGATAAGGTTTTTTGTGTTTTTGAATTTTTGGTCTTGCATATTTGAATTTTTTTATTTTTTTAATAAATAAGGGTATTATAGTATTTATACATTGAAAATTTTAATTTGGTCTTGCACAAGTGGAATTAGTCTTGCATATAGCCGCAGCCTTATATTAATTTATCCAAAAAAAAACAATTTAATATTTGTTATGTTTTGGGCAGGGTCAATTGCAAGAATACAAATCTGATTTTAGGGTCACTTGGGTTTTTTTCAAAAGTTTCAAGTCAGTCCCTAAATTTTATGATTTTCATTAAAATAATGAGATATATTCAGAACTTATACTTTAACCCCTAAATTTGAATTTTCTACACTTTTTCACCCTTTGGCAAATTGAAGAGTTTTAAGGGGATTGTTATAATATTGATATAATGTTATTTTTTAGCCGAACACATGGTTATTCTAACTTGTTTGAATTTATATCGAGCTTTTATTGAGTCGAGCTTCAAAGAGCTATTATTGAGACGTATACGGATCGAGCTCAAGTAGTTTGATTTATTTATTTTTGCACATATTTTATATTTTACTCTAATCGAACTTGAACCGAACTTCACAATTTCTCGAATAAAAATATGTGTTCAAGTTTGGGTTGTTATATTAACAAACCGAGCTCAAATGAGCTTTTAATGCTCCATCTTAAGCGGAGCATCGAGTATTTTGATTTGATTTTCAGCCATAATTAAATTTCCCTGGTTCAAATGTGTACTTACTTGAAGTCATTTGACGGGTCTCTTAAAAATGTTATCGTTACCTTACATATATAATTTCATCTCTTTATACATATGCAAACCAAACTCCTTTTATGTCGTTGATGGAGGTCGATTTAACCACCATCACTATTAGCTCTTCTCGAACACCTTCTCCAATCTCGATTGCCGGAAAATTACTCCGGTCACCTAAAATTCCGGGGCTTGAGCCCCGGGTAGACCCTCCGACGCTCAAGTTAATTGGAGAAATAATTCGAGAGAGAGTAAAATGATAGGAAAACGAAATAGAGAAGAAGACGATGTGAGACATGTGATTTGATCGTATATTTTAATGTGTGTAGTGTGTGTAAAATAAAGCGTACATTTTATGGTGGAGAATATGGAGTATTTATAAGTCATACCTACTCTTGAGGCTTTGACCTAATTTTGAGCTCATTAAACATGATAAAGTTGGGGACTTGCTATTTACAGTTTGAAAATTGATATTTGCGGTTTACAACAAAAAATATTTTATCTCTCTAAAACCCCAAAACTCCAAAAAAAGTCAAAAAAACTCCCCCAAAATGCGTAAAAGCCCAACTTGGGCGCCCATTCATGCAGTGCACGCCCAAGTTGGGCGTGCAAGCTGCATTTGGGCGCCCGAGTTGGGCGTCCAGTGCAAAAAAAATAAAAAATAAAATTAATTGAACGCCCATCTTGGGCGTTCCAACATTTTTTTGCGAAAAAAAAAGCCCTACAAATCGATTTATAGGGATTTTTAACATGAAATTGGTTCCGTAATCGACCTACCCAATGCATATTACACATAAAAGAGTCGAAATTACATCAAAAAATCGAAGCTCAACCCTTCTTCAAGCTTGATTTCGAATTTTTGATTTTTGATTTTTTTTTGCTATTTGCAGTTTGAGGGGTTTTTGGATTTTTTTGGAAAGTTTTGAGGGTTTTTTTATAAACCGCAAATAGCAATTTTCTAATCGTAAATAGCATTTCATTAAAGTTGGGTCATGGCCAACCAATGAAATTCAATCTCAAAGATTTACATGAGCCCAATAGAATGCTAAATTGGCCATCATCGGTCATATATGCCTAAAAAAATTGGCTAAAAAAATTGACATTGAACTTCAACAAATTGTCAATAAACTTGTGAAAAAATTGACAGAGAATTTCTGAATTTGAGTAATTTAACAAAATATGGCTTTAAACTTCTATAAATTGACAATGGACTTCTGAAAACTAATATATTAACAAAAACATGGTAGTGAAAATTAATGGGTGAACCTTTGAAAATCAGTAGTGACTCACAACCCAAGACGTCCTCGTATTGTTTACATGACGCACTTGCACTATGTCCATGAACTTATAGCTAATAAAGCGGGGGTATTTCAATCGAATGAGCCATAAACTTTAACCGAAACATTTTTTAGCTATAGATAATTGCCCTAAAATAATCCATTTAAATTTTTTCTTAGAGCATCCATTTAAACATGGGCAAGTAACACTTAAGCCCACTAAGATTTAACATTTTGCACATGACCCCCGTACTTCAATATAAGTATATCACCCCATGTATTTTTAATAGAAAAAATACATAACTCGTTGTGGAATTGTACTAGACAAATTATCATGCTCATTAGAAAGAGGAAAAAATTGAAAGTACAAGGGGTTATGTGTTAATATTAAAGTACAAGGAGTTCATGTGCTTATATTGAAAGTATAAAGGGGTTATGTCCAAAAAGGTCAAACAAGGGGGGCTTAAGTGCTATTTACCCTTTAAACATTTATCAAAAAGGAATAAGTAGAGCGAGAAGAATTACAACACTCAAAAAATAAGAGTCCCATCGCATAAATATCGAAGTCTCCTCCATAAACGTGCACCTCTCGAAGCGTAACTCACCAGTCGGCGAGTCTGCATCGCTCTCCTCCGTCCGCCGGAATAGTAAAGCAGCACACCGCCGGCGTACTTTAGGTTCGGCCTCGCCACGTCCGCGAAGCAACAATGATAACTACGGTAATCAATCGCCAAACTCGCCTCCACCATCTTTTAAGCCTTTGATTGATATTTTGCGAATCTGTGAACTGGGATTGATTAGCGCTAAATTTTGTTTTGTTTGATTGAAATTGCGTAATTAAGATGAACGTTCAGCAGAGAAGTGGATCAGGAGCTTTGGTACAAAGCCCTCGATCCCCATCGTCGCAATCACCGTATTTAAGGGTATCGGTATCCGATCCAGCTAAAATGGGCACCGGAGTTCAATCTTACATCTCCTACAAAGTTATCACCAAGGTAATATTCATTGGTTCGTGCATGTGTACATTATTCCAGTTGTGTTCATCTGTGATTCTGATTCGACTTTTGGAGTTGGGTTTAGATTACAAGGGTTTTCGTTGCAATTATTCGCCCATTTATGTCTGTAATTAATCTTCTGAGAAATGATGCTTACGTGGACTCGTCGTCTCTTTCCGGAATTTATTGAATTAGAATACCGATTAGCTCGAATCAGCTTCTAATCGTTTTTAAAGCTAGGTTGAAGGAGGGGTTTCTAGAACGTATCAGGTTCAGTAAATATATAGGACCTTGCTAATTTCTAGGTTGAAGGCACATCTCTTTTTCCGAGGCACGTGTGTGTGACGAATAAAGAAAGGGTGTTAAAAAAAAAGTAGAGTTCAGTTTCGACCAAGTTTTGATAATATCTAACATCTTATTCTGTGGTTTTGAGAAAGTACTTTGTAAAAATATGCATGATTTAGCCAGCTCCATACTGCATAACCTATTCAAGTAGAGATTTGTGTGCATCTTTTTGGATGCTATTAATTAATGGTATGATTGCACCCAACTTGAATTGATAACTTGGTTTCCATATTCTATGCTGCACTCCCTTGTCTGCTATACAATTTAAATTTAGAAACCTTAACCCAAAATTTGATGGCATAACAAATTCTGGCACTTGATTTTCAGACAAATTTACCTGAGTATGAGGGCCCTGAGAAAATTGTTATACGACGGTACAGTGATTTTATTTGGTTAAGAGACCGCATATCTGAAAAGTACAAAGGCGTCTTCATCCCTCCTCTTCCAGAGAAGAGCACTGTAGGTAATGATTTGAAGACTTGTTTTTCCTTTCTCATCACCGCCATAGATACATCGTTACTTCCAACTTGAATAATTGTCTTTTTTTAACCAAATTAAAAGATGTTTGATTGACATTAAAGGACATACAGTTTGATCATCTATTTAGTTTGTTTCTGGTCATTTCCTTTTTGTTCATCAACATATGTTCTTTTGAATACGGCTTTAGGATCAAATTGACCATTACTTTCACCCCCACACCCCCACCCCCAAAAAGAAAAAGAAAGAAGAATCTATCAGCTCAAGATGCAAAATGATCAAATCAGCACCCTTCCTTTCTGATGGAATTTCACCAGTTCAACTTAAGTTATTGACAATAATCATCTTTATCTCATCAAACTTGGGTGTAATTATCTATTTATGCCATCTGTTTTGTATTTTAGGAAAGATCATACCCCTATCGGAACTATTCATTTAAGCTTACATCTATAAATTATAAAAAAGATAGACAGGTCTAATAGCTTCATATGTCAGATTTGATGATATATTTAGCAATAGCACAAAGTTGATTGGTGCCTAAAATTGGTTTCTGTCATACAGAGAAGTTCAGATTTAGTGCTGAGTTCATTGAGATGAGACGTCAAGCATTGGATGTATTTGTCAACCGGATAGCTTCACATCATGAGCTTCAGCAAAGTGAGGATTTAAGAATCTTCTTGCAGGCTGATGAACAGGTAATTCCACAAATGCAACTTTCCTTCTTCAACCAACAAATTAAATCAGACACTTGAATTTGTGGTAGCTTCTCTAGGAGGCTGAGAATCATACTATATGAAAGAAAGTCATGTGGAGAGTGTGCAAGCATGTATTACAAAGAATGGGAGTCCAAGGACTTCAGTGTTGAATGTAGAATCCATGCAATTTGTGTCGCACTATTAGGATTTGAGTCTTATTTGTGCCTTCAGATAGTAGGATATTGCAATGCCCAGTGCATTGGAAATGAAAAGTGGGATGGCCTTAGAGTTTCAATATAAAGCTGATTTGATCAATGTTATGCAAAGTGTAGTTAGGGTTTGATTATAGAGATTGCTACTCTAGCCTATTCCAGCCCATTTGTTGTTGTTTTTCTTAGTTAGTTACTGTCATCTTGAAAAGTCTGAATCAGTTAAGAAGGTGATAATGAATATTATAACAAACTGTAAGTAAATTTTCAATTGAAGTATTTATGTGCTTTGTATGGCAAGACAAATATGCTGTTTATGCATCTAAATTTTGAAAATGAAGTACTTCTTTCTTTTTCCATTTTTGTTTCATACTCGTCGTACTTGGTCCGATTGTTTCACTTTTTTGCATGATCTGCAGACAATGGAAAGAGCAAGATCCCAGGAAACTGGTATTTTCAAGAAGAAGCCAACAGATTTAATGCAAATATTCAAGGTATCTCATACATGCAGTAAGAAGTAGTCATTGTCATAGTTGGGGCAACTATTGTATATGATGCTAGTTTGAGTTTTATCAATTTCTACCTCCACCAGCATATAGAGTTTCAACATTTGTTTGTTCTGATTGAAAGAGGACTTTAGCTGCTTTTAACTGCAACTCCATTAATTGTAATTTTGTGTAGATGGCCTGAGCAATCATTTAGATTGATTTATATATTTTTGTAGAAAGGGGCGAATATTTTTTGTGTGACATTGGCCTCCTTTTCTAATGTTGTCAGGATGTACAGTCTAGAGTGAGTGATGTTGTTCTTGGAAAGGAGAAACCAGTTGAAGAATCAAATCCGGAATATGAGAAGCTGAAGAATTACATTTTTCAGCTCGAAGACCACCTAGCCGAAGCCCAGAAACATGCTTACCGTCTTGTAAAGAGACACCGGGGTATATGCGAACTTTGAGTACTTGTTATTTGTGTGGTCTGTAGAAATTATGAATTCTTTCCATCTTGCCTCCATGATTTGCAAGTTATTAGCAGGAACTAATGGTGTTATGACATCTCATAGTTTAATTGTTTTTTCATGTCTGTTCCACCTCACTTTTGTCTCCCTCTCTTTTTTTTCTTTTTTTTTTCTTTTCAAGTCCATATGATAGATAAGCTTTTTATACATTACTACAGAGTTGGGACAGTCTTTATCAGACTTCGGTAAGGCAGTCACTCTACTAGGGAACTGTGAAGGAAATTCTCTTGGAAAGGCATTCTCGGAGCTTGGTGCAAAATCGGAGATGTTGTCGGTTAAGCTGCAGAGAGAGGTATGATTTAATATGTTGCAAGTGATTCTTTCATATAGAAAAACTATTAATTTCTCCTATCCTGCTGTTAGGCTCACCACCTTTTGATGAACTTTGAGGAACCTTTAAAAGATTATGTTCGAGCCGTACAGTCAATTAAGGTGAGTTCATGTCCTCATTTTGCAAGTATGGCATCTATACCAGCATAATTGATTGATGTTGTTATATAACAAGTTGAAATATGCGCTGTATTTTTTAAGTGTTTATAAAAGATTACCAGACTGTTTAGTAGAGTAAGGAAAGTACAAATGATTGCCTTCGGGAAAAATTGACATGTTACTTTCTCTTATTCCCGTGGCAGGCAACAATAGCAGAGAGGGCAAATGCATTCAGGCATCATTGTGAACTGGCTGAAGCAATCAAGTTTAAGGAAATAGATATGTACGTTCCGAAATTCAGATATTTGCTCGCTTTCCATGATGCCCTCTTGATTATATAGAAATATACTAAATGTTACATCCTTTGCATCATATACGAAGAAACAATGCTCGCTTGGACATTCACTGACTTCTTAAATTCGTTTTAACAAACACAGCTAGCATCGGTACTGATATGGTAAAAGGCTGTTGACTTAATTTCTTCCTTATATGCTAGTTTGTTCCTTAATTTTGTATGTTTTTTATTTGGAAAATACGAGTTCACGATTTTGCAAAAATATTTTCAAAATGTTCTGAAGCAATCTTCTACTCCGGCATGGTTGAAAACATATGCACTTGTTCTTCAACATCTTTCCTGAGTTGTTGGACAGCCCCAAAAGCACCTCCTATACGAGGATTTCTTTAGTTAACTGTTGAATTTTCTGGAGTCGAACAATGAAAGGATCTTGTTCTTTCATTCCTTGGTAATAAAGAGACGATGGATTTGATTTGATCCTGGAATTTTATCACAACTGCCCGTGTGTATTTGCAGGAACAAGCTCAGATTAACAAGATCAGAGAAATTGGGTGAGGTGGAGCATGAATATGAGGAGGTTGTAAAAGATTGTAGTGGCAGTTTTCTTTTCTACTTTCTAGAATCTTCATCGCACGACTGACTGATATTTGTTTGTTTTTTTTTTTTCTGATGCAGCTAAGAGCTGACGGGGCAGAGGCAGCTAGAAGATTCGACAAAATAGTGAAGCTAATGAATGAAGAGATTGTTCGATTTCAAGAAGAGAAAACCCTGGATATGGGTCTAGCTTTTCACGAGTTTGCGAAAGGTCAGGCACAGCTGGCAAACGGCATTGCCGATGCATGGCGAAGCCTTCTTCCCAAGCTCGAAAATTGCTCCCCCTCCTCTTAAGGCGCATTTGTTATTGTCTGAAATTTGAGCTTGTATCTTGTACAAACCCCCCGAGCAAAAGAAAAGATAAAAAAATCATTTTCACTTGTAACTTTAGAACCAATTAGTCGGACACACTTTTTTTTATAATATTTTTCGGTTAATATTTTTATTAAGATTTTTTATTAGGTATGGTGTAATTTGATTTTGGTTACTAGGTGTGTAACTTTGACTATCTATCTCTCTTGAGAAGTTTATTTCCCCCCTAATGGCGCACCGACTCATTTTAGATGTTCTGATAGTGAAGATAATCTAGCAGTTTTTGATATTTTCATGGAGGGATGATGCATGTATAAATCAGACCGAGACATTTCAAGTATTTGATTGGATTCGTATTTGTGTTTGGCACTCATCTTACGGTAATAGTTGTTTGTATTTTTTTTAATTAGTGGTGGATATTGGAATGGAATTTTCGATTTTCGCAGATCCCGATCCGATAGATTCCGATTTTGAAACATGTTTTCACTTCCAACTTCCGAAATTCCAATTTTGGAATTTTTCGGAAAAAATCGAATCATAATCGAAAATCAATATGGAAATTTCCGAATTTCCAAATTCCGATTGGAAAATAGTTCTGAAATTTCCAAATGATTACAAATATTATTAATATTTATTATACACTATATGTGTCATACATTTTACATATATGGTCAATTATATTCATTACATATTTAATCTTAAAATCATGCGTCCGTGGGAATTTTACGCCGTGATGAAACGCAACGTGGACGCAACGTGGACGCGTTGAAGCTCATCTAGCTCGACCTTACTATCTCCAGTTCCGACGGCAGGTCCCACTACTGTTCAGTGGACGCGTTGAAGCTCATCCAGCTCGACCTCATCCTCTCCAGTTCCGACGGCAGGTCCCACTACTGTTCAGGTGAGTTTTCGGCGGGCGGGGGAAAGAGTTGAAGTGGGCCACGTTTCACGGGCCGTAATTTTTTTTTAATTATATTCATTAAATATTTAATCCTAAACTCCTTAAAATCAGGTTGATACTAAACCATTATTTCTTTTTCGATTTCATAATGTTGAGGTAATATTTTGTTTTCTTAAACTCATCCATCTTTCTAATACGCATTTTTGAGTGTCTCTGTATTTTTTATTGGTATTTTCGAATTTTTTTAAAAAACAAAATCAAATTTCAAACAATTCCTAGAAATTTCGAATTTCTAAAATGTCCGAATAAATCGGAATCGAAATCGTAATGCGTTTTACACTTCCGGAAAAAATCGAAATTTTTTCAAAGAGGTCATTTCCGATTCAATCCATCCAATTTCCACCACTACTCTCACTGTTTACAAGTATTGTTTGGTTAATTTACAACTGAAATCCTACTCCTATTTATACTTCTCTACCTCCCTGGGAAATTGATTCAATCATATGCTTGAGAGTGACTATGTAGATCACTATGCAAACGTTTTAGGTATCTTATAAAATGTAAGTACAATATAGAGGTTTCTTGAAAGTTCATATAAATCTCTAAAACTCGGTTACAACACCATTGGGTGAGCAAATAAAACTGGAAACAAAAACCTGACTGAAAATTAAAAAGATTGTCCCATATGAACAATTCCAATTAAAAAACTGTAGGTATTGTGGTTTTTTAATAACAAAAAATATTGGTTCATGTTTGGTGCAGACTGAATAAAATCTAATTGAATCCCTGAAATGAATTCTGAACCGCACCGATAGAATTTTTAAACAACGTTATTTTGATGTTTTTATGTCACCACTCTCTAAATCGCGTCTCGAGACCTTTTACTTTCATTCTTTTTCACCAAAAATCCTTTCAGCACCTCCAGCATCAAGTTTGCCCAAATTCCAATTATAAAAGGGTTTCTTCCGACCATCACTTTCGTTTTGGGAGTAAAGAAATGACAGCAAGAGAAATGTGAAAAAAAGGTCACAAGAACGGTTGAAACTCTAATAGTCATAGTATGAGTGCTATGATTTTATCTCACTCATGTGTGTAAACTTCGTAAAGCTATATATGGTCTTAAACAAGCTCTACGTTCTTGATACAATGAGCTTCCTCAGTTTGTTATTGCTTTTGGATTTTGCAATTCACATGCAGACACATCTCTCTTTGTTCTCATCAATGGAAGTCAATGTGTATATCTTCTTGTGTTTGTTGACGATATTATCATTTCAGGTAACAATAATGAAATGGTCGACTGAGTTGTTACCTTTCTTGTTCAACGTTTCTCCATTAAGAAACTTAAGCCTCTTAACTATTTTCTTGGTATGGAAGTAATTTCGCATGCGCATTGAATTATTTTTTCTCAATGCCCACATTTTCTTGATCTTCTTGCTCATACCAACATGATGGAGAGTAAATCACCCACATTCGAACTAGTCCAATGCCTATGCTACATGTTGGCACAACCCTTGCAGATCCAACTTAATATAGTGCCATTGTGGGTAGTTTACAGTACTTATATCTTACTCGACCAGAAACTGCTTTTGCAGTAAATAAATTACTGGAATATATTCATTGTCCAACCACCGATCATTGGACGACAATGAAATTGAAATGTCTCTTGTGTTATCTTTGTGGCACCTTTAATTATGGCAATTTTCTTCATCGTGACTCACCACTATCAATTCATGCCTTATCTGATGTTGATTTGGCATGAAATACAGAGGAACCTTCTTCTAATAGTGCTTATATTGTTTGTGTTGGTATAAATCATATTTCTTGGAGTTCCAAAAAGCAAACGATTGCTCATTCTTTTACTGAAACTGAATAACGGTCTATTGCCACTGCTGCTGAATTGACGTGCGTGTGTGCGCTTCTTATTTTTACTGATCTTCATGTTCAACTACATCAATGATCACACTAAGATAATATTTGAGCTACACTATTATGTTCAAATCCAGTATTCCACTCTCGCATGAAGCACGCCGCCATTAATTTTCACTTCATTCTAGATCAAGTTCAAAATGTAGCTCTCCGTGTCGCTCATGTCTCATCTTCTGATCAATTAGCGGATACTCTCATCAAACCACTATCACGAATTCGAATTTTTACTATCGAGGACATGATTGGACTCTCCGGGATCACAAAACCACTACCACAGATTCGAATTGTTACTATCGAGGACAAGATTGGACTCTCATCCCAGAGCTCCATACTGAGGGGGCATGATAGAGATAATTTTCAAGATATTTCATAATATTTGTTTTAATTGTAAATATCATTTGTGAAATGATTTGATTTCTGTACTTTATCATAGGAAATTTCTTTGATATGCATTAATGTAATAGCATGTCTAATGTGTACATTTATCCACGCGGTGACCGAAAAGTAATGCAATGAAAAATATTTTCTATTATTTACTTCTATATGGCTGGGTCAGGTTTGGCTGGTTTATGAACATCCATAATTAATATTTCAGAAAGACGTTTTTAACAAGGGAAATACTATTTAGATTCGACTCCACACACCACCACTTAAACAAACAAACAATTATGGGAAAGAGAAAAGGATCCAATCCACCTTTTTCCCCCGTCGCTCGCCCACCGTTTGCCCCCGTTGTCGAAAGCAACCATTTGACGAACAAGGGGGGGAATGGAAGGGAAAAAAAGAAGACGAAATTTTTGAATTGTTCTCAGTACCGTCTAATAATTCTCGATACCGATTTTCTCAACAATTCTTCTATGTACCGATTTTCTTCTTGTGTATCTTTCAATAAACAAACACGGGGCACTAATTGTAGTTACTTCATATGCTAAATGCTAATCACTACAATAAGAAATAGGTGGGGCCCACGCGGTGGGTGTGTGAAAACTCTATCTACATTCATATCCTAAATACCAACCCAGCACCACATATAACACACACAAAACATACACTAAAGAAAAAAAAAATATAAAATAAACAGAGCAGTGGTGAAGCAAATTAGAAACACATACAACAATGGCGGCTGCTTCTTCTTCAATGGCGATGAGACAAGCAATTAACATGGTACATGCTTCCCACGTCAGATTTTCACTATCTGGTTTTATTATACCTAAATCACCTTCTGCATTCATCACCACCAACAATAACATTGATAATCAGTTCCTAATCAGTAATAACACTTTTGCCGAGTTATTTTCGAGCAACCGTAATATAATTCCGGTCTGTAAAGCATCACCGGCCGACAGGGTTTCACCGGCAGCCGATGACGACGGCGTTTCGTTAGGAACCATGAAACTTCCCTCCAACACCGATGTCGCTAGATTCGAAACCTTGCTATTTCAGGTAGATTTTTTTTTTTTTTAAATTGCTAATTTTTTCTTGTCTAGTCTAAGTAATTATGTAGAAAATTAGAAATGGTGACATATATTTGTATATGGTCTTATAGAAAAATGCAGTTTTCACACCTCAAGTTTGTACAAATTTCACATTTGATTCTCATATTCACAAAACACACATTTAGTCCCTCGTGTTTGAATAATTTGAACATTTTTCGTCGTCTTACCGTTAGTCCGTCAGTTGATGCAGTGATGGGTACACCTTAATTCTGTTAGTACTAACATAAAATTGACGAAAATGACTAGAAGTGTGTCTAATTTTTTAAACATGCGGAACTAGATGTGTTTCTTGTGAACATAGAGGACCAAATGTGAAATCGGTGCAAATTTAAGGGAAGAAAACTGTATTTTTCCTATTTCAGTGTCTATCTAATTAGCTTGTCCAAATGAAGAATATTGCAACGCACTTATAACTCATTTATTTATTCATGGAAAGAAATTGGGAGTTTTAAGCAAATCCCATTATAAAAGCAAAAATCAAGAACTAACCGAGAGTTAGATGCTACACCTGGTTATTTATATCGTGTGGATTTGAATCGTAGATTTGATTAGATAACTACCCACTAAGCACACATACACATGGGTGTGTGTGATTATGTGCGTAGATTTACGGTTCAAATCCACCCAGTGTAAATAACCAGCTGACAAAACCTACGTTGTTAAGTTTACCTATGCCTTTGGGGGAGAGAGTGCTGAATTTCGACGCTGCGTGGCCATAATCATCTTCAAATGAATTCAGTTTCTTTTTGTCTCGACTTTGATAGAGTTTATATACATTTCCTTCAGACAACAACTTAAAAACGATAATATATAGGTGACTCGTCGTTAATGAACTAATTAGTTACTCGATAGATGTTGTTTCTGCTTTCATATAATCGAAGGCCTCAATTACATGTGGATTGGAATAATAATTTTACTCATTCATAAAATCGCGACGCTACTTTTTTTACAGTGGGGGAACAGCCTATGCCAAGGTTCTAATTTGCCGCTTCCGTTACCACTCAAGGTTAGTTAGTGATCGACGATAGTTGCATTTAACTCGTAATTAATCGAAATCTTTAAATACAAGAATTTAATCTTAACTACTTTTTAAATGGTAGTAGTTGCTTCAATGTAGTGTATAGTTGCTAATAGATCATTTACGAATGTAATCAATGAGCAGGTTGATAAAATCCCGGGTGGAGCAAGACTTGGTTTCATCACAATTGGAGACGGAGAAACCGAAGTAGTAGTGTACATCGATTGCTTAGTATATCCAGGCACAGATAATTCCGCTCCGGTTTTCCGCGCCATAAGAAACGGCCCCAAAAAAGATCAACCGCCACCTGGAGAGCCAAGAATCATGCGAAGCCTATTGGACGCATTAAAAAAGTGCGTCGAAATAGCACGAGTTTGAATTTATTATTATTTTTTTGTTTGTTATTATACCTAGTAGTCTAGTACAGTTGTAATATAACTAATATTTTGTTTTCTTTCCAGCATTGCTGAATACTGTGAAGTTAAACTCCCTCTGTGTCGCGTCTTTAGTCATGCATAAAAAACGAAACGTAAATATGCTATCCAACGAAAAATGAATCATTGTTTGGGGAGCACATTACTAAGTTATTTCAGACAAGGTGGTTATCTTTAAATCGAAATAAAATTTTTAAAAGATGCAAAAACAAGAACAGGCCGGTTAAAATTATTTTTCGTCCGTATATGTTACAGCCGGAGATATATTATCCTGCATTAAATAAAAATAATTTTTTTTTAAAAAAAATCATCTGAATCTCAACTCAAATTCCCATTAAAGACAAAAAAGATTCATTACTATGTCTTATATATATATGTGTGTGTGTGTGTGTGCAGATTCCATAAACTTCTGAAACAAACAAGTGTAAGTAACAATGAAGAATCCCGACTCAGAGGATTCCTTCGAAGCAGAGGAAGATGATAGTTATGATGCTGTAGTAGTGGGGTCTGGTTACGGTGGTTCTGTTGCTGCATGTCGAATGTCGATAGCAGGTCTCAAGGTTTGTTTGTTAGAGAAAGGGCGAAAATGGGAATCTAAAGATTTCCCAACCGATAGTTTAAGGATGATTTCGGCTGTCAGAATCGATAACCGGAACTTGGGAGTCAGCTTCGGTCCAAACAATGCTTTATTTCAGGTCTTTCTTTTTTGTTCTTATAAGATTTTGTTTTCATTATTTATCCAACGGATGTGATAAATGTCGTTTCAGTTTTAATAATATTATTTTGACTGATTTTGACCATTTTCGAGTTTGAATTTGGCAAAATTTTCTAAACAAGGAATTAGTGGATCTTTCAGTTAGCATTCTACTCCAGCTCGAGTCGCCACGATTGGATATCGAATGAGAAAGATATGCGTTAATCAATGAACACTTCTCACAATCTAATTGATTAAAGTTGGATTAGAAAATATTCTGAATTTTGTCAAAATCAAACTAGGAAATGGGTCGAAATCACGTCCAAATTCAAAACAGTATTAGTAAAATTGAGTCGACATTTAACATTTCAGTTTATCGAATAATTAATAAAAAAAAATCAGGTACATATAGAAGACGATTCTCTAGCAGCAACAGCATGCGGCTTAGGCGGCGGCTCGTTAGTAAACGCAGGAGTGATGTTGCCCACGCCAGCTCGTGCGCGACGGGACCCACGATGGCCGAAGCCTTGGGAAAAGGATTGGGACTTATACGTGGGGTCCGCTTCGGAGATGCTAAGGGTACAGAATATTCCATTTGAGTTCCAAAATTCCAAAATCATGCAACAAGTGATTGATCACAACGAGTACGAAAAAAACATCCACAGTAATCCAATGAAACTGAGCATGAGTTTCGACATTGAAGAACACGTTTCTGAATCGAGAAAGTCTCTAGAAACTTCCGGAAACTGTCTCGCGTGTGGGAATTGCCTCTCTGGATGTCCTTACAACGCCAAAAATTCCACCGATAAAACTTATTTAATCTCGGCTATTCAAGTATGCGTTATTCTTTAATTTTCGACTTTCATTTTTTGAAGTCGTATAAAAATTAAAATGGACTTGATTTTTCCACAGGCAGGATGTACTATTAAAACGGAATGCGAAGTTCAATACGTGGTACGAAACAACGAAGAAGAAGATTTCAAAGGAAGAAGAAGCACGCGAAGATGGCTTGTATTTCTCGACGAATTTGACTATATAACATGTGATATGGTTATACTATCGGGTATATAGTAATCAAGAAAGATGGTAACTTTTATATATTATTTTTTTTTCTTCGTAAAATGTAATCTATATACGTAATATTCTTCTGCAGCTGGAGTATTCGGTACGGCAAAAATACTTTTTCAATCTCAAATGAGAGGATTGTCAGTCTCGGAGAAGCTCGGCTCGGGATTGAGCTGCAATGGCAATAATGTAGCTTATCTCGATCGGAGCTCGGCTCCATTAAATGCTTTTGGTCTGAACAAAAATCAGTTTTCGAATATTCCTTTTCGGGAAAGACCAGGGCCTTCGATTTCTTCGTCATATACTTCTTCATTGGGGTTCACCATTCAGGTTTGAGGCACATAATTGGTATTTCTTTGGATTTTTTATCGTTGCTTCGTAGATAATTTTTACGAATTCGTTGATACAATTTCGATATTTCTAGACTATTTTTTGGAGTATGATGTATCTAGGGGTGGAAAACGGAAAACTAATTCCAATTCCGTTCCAAACAAAATCAGAAAAATCGGAAATTGGAATGGCAAAGTTTGTTCCAAAATCGGAAATTTTTGGCCCCAAATCAACGGAATTCTGAATTTTTCATTTTTTCAGTCACTTATAATATGAAACACATAATAAATTGATATTATAAGTGTAATTTCCGCGGAAAATTGAAACTTCCGAAAATAATTTTTCGGAAAATTAAAATCGGATTGGAAATCAGAATCTAATATGTATTCATTCCAATTCCAGTCCAAAGTTTTTGAAAATCATAAATTATTTTTGAAAATTTAAAGTCAGATTCGAAATCGTAATCTAATATGTATTCCAATTCCACTAAAAGAATTTTTTTATTTTTTTTTAAATCGAAACTTTCAGAATTCGGAATGAAAAATATTGTTCCAAAATAAAAAATATTCGGATTGGAATTCGGAACTCGGAAATCGCAAATTCCGTTCCAATTTCCACACCTAGATGTATCAAATAATGAAATCATTTTTATTTCTTATTTTTTTTCTTCATGCAGAGTGCAGTAATTCCAACAGCATATCCATGTTTCATATTCAAAGGAATAACAACATACAAATGGCAGTATCGAAATTCGTTACTCCTACTCGACATTATCGACAGGCTAAAGCATTTCATCGCAGGCTGGAAACACAACCAATCGGCAATGGTACTAAACGCAATGGGATACGACGAAAGCAACGGGAAACTCACATTCGAAAAAACCACAAACAAAATTACGTTTCTACCCCCGCACGACCCTCTGCTGCCTAAAAAAATCGAGGCTTTCCAAAAAATCGCCAAGAAAATAGGAGGAACACTCTTCATGTCAAGATATAGAAGCACTTCCGTACATCTCTTAGGCGGCTGTATCGTCTCGACAGATGTTTCTTCGGGTGTCTGTAATTCCGACGGACAAGTTTTCGACCGCTCATCTTCGAGTGGGGTCCACTCCGGACTTTATATTTGCGACGCCTCGTTAATACCTTGTTCGGTTGGGATTAATCCTTGTCTCACTATTGCAGCTGCAGCTGAGCATGTGAGTAAGAATCTTGTCCTAAATGCGACCAAGTACGTAAGAAATTTTGTCGGTAATAAAAACTACGTACAGAAACGGGGATTTGTGTCGAAGTTTAAGACAAAGAAGAGGTGCGTTTCGGAAGTTACGACGAAAGAAGTTATGAGAGGGGAAATTGGTGGAATGCCTTGTGCAGCTTATCTTAAATTGAGGTTCGATTCTTTGGAAAATAGTGAAAAATCTCGTCGAAATTTACGAGGCAAAGTTCGAGGGTATATTTTATGCAAGGGTATCGAAACGGACAAAATGTACATTGTTCACGGAGAAGTCGACTTATGTAAAATAGATACGAAAACTCCTCACACGCAGTATATGCATTATCATCTCCTCATTGCAGCTTCATCCGGTTCAAGGTTCTTTTTTTTTTTTTTTTTTTTTTTTTTTTTTATTTCTTCCACTACACATTTTTTTTCGAAATACTCGTTTCTTGATAATTTGAAGGCTTTTATTCGATGCAGATATGTTTTCGAAGGAAGAAAGATAATGAACCCGTATCTCGTAGGATTATACGCATGGAGGGAATCCACAACATTGGATGTGACATTGAGAAAAATCACAAATAATATCGAAGAAAACGCAATAAATCTAAAAGGGAAGCTTCGTATTTCGTTTCTAGAGCTTCTGCAAAGCGCTTATGCACTCGAAGGTGGAAGCAAGTACAGGTTCATATTTCTCTTAATGCAATCACTTCTTACAACCTACATCACGCAAACACCTCGAGGAAGCCTCGTCACTTTCGCCCCGACGAAATTCACTCGGGAGCCTTATCCAAATAGTACGATTCACGAGGTTCAAACAGGTGGTTCATATAGTATACACAAAACTTAATTCAAACTATATTATCAACTACTTATTCGACGTTACAAAATTTTGCAGACGAAGATTGTGTAATATATTGCCGGCATTGGATTTGCTGCTACAGCCAAACAGAACTTAGCGAACAGAAAAAACCGTACCCTGTCCTTTTAATCAACGGTTATTCGACCGAAAGCTATTGTTTACCAACCGAGCCAAATGACCTTGTAAGAACTTTACTGAAACAAGGCCGTGATGTGTGGTTACTTAAGACAAGATTGGATCCATCGAATAATTCTTCAGACATCTTATCTATCGAAGATATTGGCACAACTGACATTCCAGCTGGTACATATAAACTAATATTTTTACCGAAGCTTAACCCCGTTTTCTCACCTTCCATTCGTTGCTCAAAATATAGTCTCGTTTTTTTTTGTTTTTTTTTTTGCATGCAGCGATGAATATGATCAAAGTTTTCTACGGGGAATCGAAATCGACGAAAGTACATGTAGTTGCACACTGTGTCGGAGGTCTAGCAGTTCATATTTCATTAATGGGAGGTTATATCTCATCCAAATATATAGCTTCTCTCTCGTGTACAAATTCTTCTATGTTCTTTAAGCTCACCGCATCGTCGTTATTCAAAATGCGGCTGCCCCTCGTTCAAGTAAGCGCCTTTTTTATTGTGCGTAAATTACGAACAAAAAGACAAATAAAGCAATAATTCAAGTTCGTATACAGATGTCGATGGCGATAATGGGCAAGAACAAGACACTACCTCTGCTTCAGACATCAACCGCAAGTTTCCGACATCGGCTCTTGAAATCAATAGCGCGTTTAATCCCACGCTACGAAAGATGCAGTTATGACGAATGCGAGGTGTTCTCGGGTATATTCGGGAATACATTCTGGCACGAAAACGTAAGCGAGTCGATGCACCACTGGACGCACAAAGAGAATCTGCGAAAGCTTCCGATGTCGGCATTTCCTCACCTCAGACGAATATGTAATACCGGTTTCATAGTTGACGGGAAAGGTGAAAACTCGTACTTAATTCACCCCGAGAGGATGGCGGTGCCGACGCTGTACATATCGGGGGGACGACCGATTCTCGTGACTAAAGAAACCTCGTTTCTTGCGAATAAATACATGAAACTGCACCAGCCTGGCTACAGGCACGAAAGGGTGGTGGTCGATGGTTTCGGCCATTCGGATCTTCTGATTGGTCAGAAATCAGATGAGAAAGTTTTTCCACACATACAAAATCATATTGAGTTGGCTGAAGATGAAATGAGTTCTTTCAAGAAGCAGAGAGAGTATAATAAATGCATGAAAGAGGTGTTGGCATGGAGTTGTGATCTATATGAAGATGGAGAGAAAATTGGGAGTTGGGTTTTGCCTTTGATCACCATTATATTACTTGTGTTTATTTTCATTAAATTGTTTTTTCTTTGTTGAGTTTTGGTTGAGTTTATCAAGAAGATGACTATGCTAATGCTAATCATGTTTTGGATTGAGTTATTTGAAATGATCGGATTTTGGGAAGGATTTGAAACGACTCCAATCGGGATGGGATTTAAAGATTTCACGAAAATGCTCCCAAACAATGGCTAAAAACGAGAGCTATGAATTTAAAATCATTTTCATGGATTTGTTATCACATATTTTCACGCGTATTATTGCATTTACTATCCTTGTGAAAATCGCAACTGTGCGAGTCCCCTATCATAAAAAAAAAAGAAGCAAATATCCCCTGCCAAACATGAATTGCCTATTATTACCCCTAGATTTCGTCAAGCATGAATTGCCTATGATATATATCTTTTCATAAAATCAATAAATGTTTATTGAATTTAGTGGAATCTTCTAAATTATAGATTATGCGAAATATTCTTCAGTTTGTACATGTTTTAATCAATTCAAGCTCCACATTTTGAAACAAGATGATCATAAAATGCGTCTTTTGGCTTGTAAATATCAGATCGTGGTGCATCAGAAATTGTATTTTTGCACAAAACAAGTACAAATTATAAAACATTTCACGAAACGTAGAAAATTCTATTGAATTTGACACCATAAGAATGGATGTCCAAAAAAATTCATAGTTGAAGAATTGTTGTAATTACCAAACATAGAGGGTTTTTACCGTAATTACCCAATTTTAAAAGGAGATAAAATACAAAATAATGAAATAATGAAAACAAATTGGAAATGGTTCCAACATTGCCGGTTACTGCAAATTTGAAGGAAGTAAAAATTGAAGGAAAAAGGAAGAGGTAGAATTAAAAGAGAATAAATATGGTCCAAAAAATTCAGTTGTTTACACTTCAGAGAGAGAGAGAGAGAGAGGGAGAGATGAATTATTTCTCTCAGTATTCTACTCCGCCATTAATCCGTACTTGAAAGCTTCAGTATTCCTCCAAACCCTCACATTTTTTTTTGGCGCGAACGAGGAACACAAAAAACGCTTACGCTACCTGAGACGCATTTCAAATCGCCAAAACAAGTGCAGAGAGACAATCGTCTGAAACTTCCATCTCCTCCGCACGATTATGTACGACGACTAATTGAAGCTTATGTGTAAAGCGTACTTCTCCGTTTCAATTTTTGTTGGGCAGAAAATCAGCAATTTGCACCAAAAAGTCAACTGCAATTAAAAGACGCAAATCAAGGTGGTGGGCTCTACCCTTCAATTTTTTTTTTTTTTTTTTCAATTTAGAACACCAGCTTCATGTTTTTGACTATTTTTGCGTTCTGCTTTCAATCCTTTGAATGGTGACGGCTGCAATGTTGAATTTGGACTTAAAGCACTAACGTGAGTACTAATTAAGTAAAAGTTTGAAAATCCCCGATTCTAGTTATTAATGCTGCCGGCTATAGCTTTCGATCCGATTTTAGCAACTTGCACATTGTTATCTAGGCCTACACATTAATGAACCCTATGTTTTGGACATCCATTATTTGAGATATTATTGAATTTGGGATCATTTGAAATGTTTGAATTTTCGGGTCCGGGTGTAGTTGGGTTGTTCGTCGAGAAGGTGGACTCGTCTAGTATTAGTTCACATTGAAGTAGATATGGTTTTTAATTCAAAGTTATAGATTTTTTTTTAGTGAGCCGTCATCAATTTTGCGGTTTGACTATTTTCCGTTCAACGGTTTGTTCCTTTAAAAAATGATGGTTGACATGTTGTATATAATATAACCTGCAATACCAACTTGGGAGGGGAATCTTCTGTTGGTTCTTCTAACTGTATTCTTAATATTTTCGAGTAGAAACCACGTGATTTTTTTCTGTCGTTGTTTTTGCTTCTATCTTTTCAATCAATTATATTGAATTTACAATTTGTTCGAAAATGGAGAATCCCAAATCGGAGGATGGTGGTTATGATGTTGTTGTTATTGGTTCTGGATATGGAGGTTCGGTTGCTGCATGTCGAATGTCCATAGCAGGGTTTAAGGTTTGTTTGTTAGAGAAAGGGCGAAAGTGGGAAGCACAGGACTTTCCGACCGATAGTTTCAAGATGTTGTCTGCTGTCAGGGTGGAAAACAGAAACGTAGGAATCAATTTCGGTCCGAAAGATGCTCTGTTTCAGGTCATTTGGTCTTCTTTAAACACGTATAGAAGATTTCGTCGTAAAATATTTTCTATCGAATCGCGATAATAACATATGTTATCGAGTAGCAATATGCCGATTTGCAGAATCCTATTGCCTAATATTCGTCGCGGAATTATAAAAGTTTAGATGCAATAGCTTACACAAAACTATCTCATCTGTTTGTTTTCTTGTTCTCGAGAATGATTAATTATGTCAATACGAATACAGGTACATCTACAAGATGATGCTGCAGCAGTAACTGCATGTGGCTTAGGTGGCGGTTCACTAATAAATGCAGGAGTGCTGTTGTCCACGTCAGCTCGTGCTCGAAGAAATCCCAGATGGCCAAAATCTTGGGAAGAAGATTGGGAAAAGTGCGAGGCTTCTGCTCTACAGATGCTAAGGGCACAGAAAATTCCATTGAAATTTCAGAACTCCAAGATTATGGAAGGTGTCTTAGGCGAAGAATTCGATAAGAGCATCAACAATAACATGAAAGTCAGCATGAATTTCGATATCGAACAGGTTTCTGATTCAAGGGTGTCTCAAGAAACCGGAAGCTGTCTAGCGTGTGGGAATTGTCTTAGTGGCTGTCCTTACAATGCTAAAAATTCGACCGATCGAACTTATCTTGTATCTGCTATCCAAGTATGTTTCTCTTTTGAATTTATGTCCAAAAGACTCTTAATATATTGTTACGTCTTATTTTTAAAATTTATTTTTGAAGTGTTTGGATACTGAGCTTATAAGCTATTTTTACTCGTTATAAGATCTTAAATAAAAATGTGGGTAGATGTACTTTTTTTTTTTTAAATCTTCAAAGCTCTCCAACAGCTTATTTTTGGAATTTTTAAAATCTTTTTGGAAAAAATTACCAAACACTTTTAAAGAGCTTATAAGCTCTTAACATCTTATAAGCGACTTTAAACAGCTTATAAGCTCAGTCAAACACCGAGTCTAATTCAGATTGTTTCCACAGTTTAGATAAGTTAAACTGAAGTAGATTTTTTTTCTGTTTTCTGTTTGTAGGCAGGATGTACAATTAAAACAGAATGTGAGGTTCAATATGTGTTAAGTAACAAAGAAAATACATGCAACAAGGACGGAAGATCGAAAAGAAGAAGCGAGCGTCGATGGCTTGTATTTCTGAATGAATTCGACTATATAGCATCTGATATAGTTATACTCTCAGGTGAATTTGTGCTCAAGATAACTTGCTCGTATTTTACTAATATTAAGCGAAAATGTGATTTCTAATATATAAATACTTCCACTGCAGCTGGAGTATTCGGTACAGCAAAAATACTTTTTCAATCCCAATTAAGAGGATTAGCTGTCTCGGAGAAGCTTGGCTCAGGATTGAGCTGCAATGGCAATAACGTCGCCTATGTAGCTGAAAGCTCGGCCCCTTTAAATGCTATTGGACTAAATAGGAATCAGTTTTCGAATATACCTTTTCAAGAAAGACCAGGGCCTTCGATTTCTTCGGCATATACTTCATTGGGATTCACCATTCAGGTTTGAGTCATATTATATTGGAAAAATTTCCTTTATATCGAACCTACTTAGTATACTTATTACGAGTTGTTATTGTGAAAAATGAATAGCCTTTTTCTCCTCTCTTTTGCAGAGTGCAGTAATTCCAACAGCCTATCCAAGCTTCCTATTTAAAGGAATAACAACCTACGGATGGCAATCTAGCTACTGGCTCTTACACGGCATAACAGACAGGATAAAGCGTGTACTAGGTTCGAAGAGCGGGCAAGAAATAATTCTCAATGCAATGGGACATGATGACAGCAGTGGGAAACTCACGTTCGAAAAAGAAACAAACAGAATTCTCTTTCAGCCACCGCACGATCATTTGCTGCCGCGAAAAATCGAGGCTTTCGAAAAAATCGCCAAGAAAATAGGAGGAGTTCTCTTCATGTCAAAATATAGGAGCACCTCGGTACATCTCTTAGGAGGGTGCATTGCTTCAACGGATGTCTCGTCTGGTGTCTGTAATCCGAACGGTCAAGTTTTCGATACAACGAGTCCGAGTGGGGTCCACTCTGGACTTATATTTGTGATGCCTCGTTATTACCGTGTTCTATTGGAATCAACCCTTGTCTCACTGTTGCTTCAGTTGCTGAGCATGTAAGTAGACAACTTGTCAAGGACTCTGTGAAGACTAGTGGGAATTTTGTAAATAAAAAAATCGATAAGAAACCAGGCTCGATATATAATGGTAAGATGGAAAAGGGTTGTGAGTCGGAAGTAGTTGTGACTAAAGAAACCATGAGAGGGCAAGTTGGTGGTATGCCGTGTACAGCTTATCTAAATTTGAGATTCGGAACAAATAATGATTCCGAAAAATCTCATCCTCTTTTACGAGGTGAAGTGGGTGGATATGTCGAATGCATGGCTTTGGAAATGGAGAAGATGTATATAATTCATGGTGAAGTTGATTTATGTGAAACAGATACGAGAACTCCTTACACACAGTATATGCGTTATCATCTCCTTGTTGCAGCTTCTTCTGGTTCGAGGTTCGAATACGAGTTTTGAATGTCGAATTGTTCTCCTATTATATATTTGTTGAATTCGAGATTGATGGAGGTTGTTCTTTTTCATGCAGGTATGTTCTTGAAGGGAGAAAGATAATGAATCCATATCTACTAGTTCTGTATGCATGGAGAGAATCAACGACATTGAATGTGACACTGGCGAAAATCAACGATAAAATGCCGGGAGAAGATTCGATGAATCTAAAAGGAAAGCTTCGTATTTCCGTATTAGAGCTTCTGAAGAGTGTCTATGCTCTTGAAGGTGGAAGCAAGTATAAGTTCGTATTTCTTCTAATGCAATCACTTCTTACAACCTATATTATACGAGCACCTCGAGGAAGTCTCGCCAAATTCAGTCCCGTGAAATTAGCTAGCGAACCTTATCCACACAGTACGATTCATGAGATTCAAACAGGTGACAAGTTAATTCCGATACTCCTGCAACTTAATTCAACCTGTGTATGTTTGTCCAAATCTTACCATCCTTATAATTTACTGAATCACTGTCACTGTGAAATTTTCAGAGGATAATTTTACAATATCTTGCCAGCATTGGGAAAGTTGTGACCGACAACTCAAACGGGAGGAAAAACCATACCCTGTTCTTCTAATTAATGGTTATGCAACAGAAAGCTATTGTTTACCAACCGAGCAAAATGATCTTATTAGAACTCTACTAAAAGATGGGCACGATATATGGTTACTTCATTCACGAGTGCACTGGTCGAATCCTTCAAACAACTTCTCAGTTGATGACATAGGCAAAATAGACATTCCAGCAGGTAAAATTTATGTAAATATATGCCGTTTGCAGCTTACCGATATTTCAGTTGATGATTTTTTTTATTTTTTATAATTTTTTTTTGTGTGTGCAGCAATGAATAAGATTATTGAGTTCTACGGTGAATCCATAAGAGTACACGTAGTAGCACACTGTGTTGGAGGTTTAGCCATTCATATCTCGCTTATGGGAGGCTTTGTACCGGCCAAACATATAGCTTCTCTGTCTTGTACAAACTCCTCAATGTTTTATAAACTCACCACATCCTCGTTGGTCAAAATGTGGCTTCCCCTTCTCCCAGTTAAGCATTTCTTGCTCGTTATTATTACATGTGATAAATGTCATTTCAGTTTTAATAGTACTGTTTTGGACTTTAAACGTGATTTTGACCATTTTCAAGTCTGAATTTGGCAAAACTCAAAAGACGGCGTTGGTAGTTCTGTGAGAACGCTTTCTAATCCAACTTGATCCACCAATATTGGATATCGAGTGAGAAAGATATGCATGAATCAATGAACACTACAGTTTCCGTGTTTTGAATTTTGTCAAACTCATACTAAAAAAAAGGTTAAAATCATGCTCGAAGCCAAAAAACGGCATTAGTAAAATGGAAACGACATCTAAAATTTCAGTTTGGTTAATGGTCTAACTATTATCTCTTACAAATTGCAACCAACTTGCAGATGTCAATGACAATAATCGGTAAGAACAAGATACTGCCCATGCTGCAAGAATCTGCAGCAAGTTACAGACACAAGCTTCTAAAATCAATAGCGCGTTTAATCCCTCGCTACGAAAGATGCACCTGTGACGAATGCGAGGTCTTCTCAGGCATATTCGGCAACGCGTATTGGCACGAAAACATAAGCGATTCGATGCACCACTGGATGAACAAGGAGAATCTGCCGAAGCTTCCAATGGCAGCATTTCCTCACCTCCGACGAATTTGTAATTCCGGTTTCATAGTGGACAGTAAAGGTAGCAACTCTTATCTGATTCACCCCGAGAGAATGGCAGTGCCGACGCTATATATATCGGGCGGAAGAACCCTACTTGTGAGAACCGAGACTTCGTTTCTTGCGAATAAATACATGAAGCTGCACCAGCCTGGCTACAGGCACGAGAGGGTGGTGGTCGATGGTTTCGGCCATTCGGATCTTTTGATTGGTCAGAAATCAGATGAGAAGGTTTTTCCACACATACAAAATCATATTGAGTTGGCTGAAGATGAAATGAGTTCTTTCAAGAAGCAGAGAGAGTATAATAAGTACATGAAAGAGGCTTTGGCATGGAGTTGTGATCCATATGAAGATGGAGAAAGTTTTGGGAGTTGGGTTTTGCCTTTTATCACCATTTTATTACTTGTGCTTCTTTTCAAATTGTTTTTCTTATCAGGGTTTTCATAGTTTTTTTTTTTTTTTTTTTTTTTTTTTTTTTTTTTTTTGTTGTTGAAGTTTCCCTGATTCATAATGGATGTTAAATCGGACTGTGATTGAACTTTAGATTAGATAGAGGAAATAAATAAAAACGTAAATTACGGCCATTCCTGAAATAAGGTCAAACTACAAAAAAATCCTTCGTGTTTGAGTAATTACAACCATCCCCTCCTTAACTATGAATCTTCTTAAACGTCCGCCCTTGTGGTGTCAAATTTAGTAAAATATTCGTCAGTTTGTATCCGTTTTATCCTATTCGAGCTCTACATTTTAAAACAAGATGATCATAAGATGTGTCTCTTGGCTTGTAAATATTAGCCCGTGATGCTTCAAAAATTGCATTTTTGTAGATTATGTTTAATTGACACCATAAAGGTGGATGCGTAAGAAAATTCATTGTTGAAGTATATGGTTTTGTAATTAACCAAATATATTTTTTTCTTTTTTCATAATTTGAGCTTATTTCAAGGGATGGCCGTAATTTACCCTAAATAAAATATAGGTGTTTTGCACCTTATAATCGACGTTTGTATAATTTGAGAATGAAAATGATGTTTGTTTTTATACGGACAAAAGATATAAAATGCTAATTTAGACTACTATTTGCTAATTTAGACCAATAAAAGCTAGACGACGTCGTCTGAAAGCTAACTGGCCATTACTTCCAGAATTGCGTCACACATTCAACGGCGTGAACATGTCGAAAGCTATGAGCAAACCGGGTCTAATCAGTCTCCTTAAGAACCGGCTCCTACATGGACCGGCACCGATCCTCCACCACCCCCGGCGATCCATTCAAACCCTAGCATTTGAAGAGATCAAATCAACGCCGGAAAAGCCCCATCAATTCACGGCGTTTGTAGTCCACGGCCTCCTCGGCTCCGGTCGCAACTGGCGTTCCTTCTCCCGCTCCCTCGCTTCCTACCTCTCCCCCGCCCGTAAGTAAATTGATTTCATCGCCGATCAGTTTTTTTTTTCTAAAATTCAAATCCTTTTAATTTGTGGAATCAGTTGTTTTCTCCATCATTCGACGTATACTTTTCAGATTTTGTTGTTGTTGTGTATATCAATATATTGATTCTCTTTCATTGTTGTTTACGTGGTGCAATACTCAGAAAGTATAGTGCTAAAAGAATTGGCCTTTTTGTTTTTTTAATAATAATGTTTTTTTTTTGTTTCAATTTGGTAATCTTTTTAGATGAGTAATCTGTAAAATCAGTTTTTGTAGAGCTCTATAAAGTGTGGCGCAATTAGTGCACCTCCGATTTCGTATCGTGCAGAAGCAGAAGTGATGTTTCTCCCCTTCTGGAATTTGAGTTCTGCACAACATGATTTTTTTATCTCTGTATAACTCGCGTGTTTTGATATGTCCGTTTTACCTAAGAATAGCTTATAATGTATGCAGAATGGAGGATGGTTCTTGTGGATTTGAGGAATCACGGGAGTTCGGCAGAAATAGAAGGACTATTGCCCCCTCACAATCTAGAAAATGCAGCGAATGATCTGGCGAATTTGGTGAAATCGGAAGGCTGGGATTGGCCGGATGTTATTATTGGCCACTCGCTCGGTGGAAAGGTAGCTATGCAGTTTGCCCAAAGTTGTGCTAACGGAAATTACGGTGATAACGTTACCTTGCCCAAACAGGTATTCTTCCTTCTATGAATTAAGCTACAATGCTGGTTCTTTGTTCTTCAAATGATCATATCTAGTTTGCTAAAAACTAATTGCGAAATAGTACATCTTTCGTTTTTACTTTTTTTTTTTTTTTTTTTTTGTGTTGTATGATGTTTGTATATTCTAATCTTAACAGCCTTGATTTATCGGCTTACGGATGTGTGAAACTGTTGCAGAACAGGTATGGGTATTGGACTCTGTTATCGGAGAAGTGATCCGAGACAATGGTGATGGTGAGGTGGAGAAAGTTTTGCAAACCTTGCAGAGTCTGCCTTCAACTATACCGTCCAGAAAGTATTTTCTCTTCGATTTATTTATATGTTTATTTATTTATTCACCTCTGTAATTATGTTAGGATAATTGTTATCTGTTTGTCATTTAACCCTGCAACTCACGTACGTGCAATGTTGTATTGATCAATGCATTGCTTATTGATGTGTTTGGTGATGTGGCCAGCTTGAAGTGTTGAATGTGCTTGTGCTTTTAAAGTTACACTTGGTTCGATTTATTTTTTTAATTTATTTTTATTTCCGATGGGTAAGGTGGCTGGTAGATCACATGCTGAAGCTCGGGTTTTCAAAGTCATTATCGGAATGGATAGGAAGCAACCTCAAGAAATCAGGAGAACACGAGACATGGGCATTTAATCTTGACGGGGCTGTGCAGATGTTTAATTCTTACAGGTTCGATTAACATTCTTGTAACTTTCTCATTAGTTCTACATATTGCGGTTTCACAAGACATGCATAGTTGACTTTGTTCCGAAAATTATCTTAGGGAGATGGATTATTGGTCCCTATTGGAGCACACACCCAAAGGCATGGAGATAAATATTCTGCGTGCTGAGAAGAGTGACAGGTGGAATCGAGATATTATACAGCAACTTGAGCACTTGGATTCCAAACGGGAAAGTGAAACCGAGGGGAAGGTCTCGCTTCATGTTCTTCCCAATGCGGGGCACTGGGTTCACGTAGATAACCCGAAAGGACTTCTTGAAATTGTGGCCCCCAGAGTTGCCTCTGTATGTTAGCTGCTTGTTTATCTTCAAGTTGTATTGAATTTATACACTAGTTTAAAGTATCAAATTATCGTGGAGTTAGCTGATTGCTGTAAGCACTGTGATACGGCTCGATCGGTCGTGATTCTGAAATCGGTCGTGAATTTATACCTAATTCTTTTCTTGCTTGGAATAAGACCTTAATCTTTGAGCATGGGGAAATTGTTTTATGTTATAATTGGTTTGAAGAGCATCTTCTTGCTTAAGGATTCCTGATTTTTTTTTTCTATTATTATTATTATTTTTTTATTTATTATTAGATAAAGTGCTTCATGCTTGACTTGATACTTCTCATATTTTGTCAATTACAACAACACAAATAATGTACGATTAAAAAGAAATTGCCAAAAATAACTTTTTAAAATTAATTATTAAAAATAGAAAGAGAAAAATATAAAATAAACATCAATCTCGCATAAAGAATCTTCTTATTACGTCCACCAACTTACGTACCATTTGATGATTTTTTTTTTCTTTTATATCAAGATCGAATTCATCATAATGATTAATCAATAAAATAATTTTATAATTTTTAATTTAAATTATTAAAGTAAATAATTTCATCCAATATGTGAAAAATTATACAATCTAAAACATTTTTTTTTATGAATAGTAATAACCAATAAGTACATGATTTGAATCATCTATGGGCAATTGGGCATTGAAATAAAAGGGCCAAGGCCCATTAGTTAATAAGCTGCAGCCCATCTCCGTTATAAAATCTACAATTAGGGTTCTTCATTCTCGTTAGCAGGCACCGCAGTTAAACCCATTTTTTTTTTTCAAAATTAGGGTTTTCGACATCCGACAGCCATTTTCCAGCAGCCGAAGCCATGGTAATTCCCTCAAATCACACCCCTTACATTTTCCTTTTTACATTTTTCGTTATGCTGTTTGCGAAGTTTAAATCTGATTGTTCTTCGTAAGTGTTAGGATTCTGAAATTTTTTGTTTTGTGTTTTTTTGCTCCGTCTGCAAATTCTTCCACTGATTTATGTAAATCGTTTGATTCTCCTTCTTCAATTTTTTTGCTGTGTAAATCTTAGCATGGTGGATTTACTTCTGCATTAGGTATGGGGATTTTCTGAGTGAATTTAATTTTTATGAAGTCTATTTTATATGCTGGTGCTTGTAATTTATTATTCAATTATTAGATTTAAGAAAAAAAGGATATATGGATTATTATTAACACTGTTCATTCACTCTTAATTTGTACAAATCTTGTGAGTGGGTAAATTTCTGACCTTTTTGTCGAAAATGTAGCTATAAATATATTTGTTCAATATTGAATTGACACTATCTTTGTATTCCCTTTGGATTCTTATTCTTATTTACATGATTCGTTGGTTGTTGTAGTCGAGGAGAAAGGTTAGGGAGCCTAAAGAAGAGAATGTCACCCTCGGACCTGCAACTAGGGATGGAGAACTTGTGTTTTGCGTGGCTCACGTCTTTGCCTCGTTCAACGACACCTTCATTGTGAGAACTTCAGTTCGATATGTTTTTGTTTACTGTCACCTTTGTAGAGTAAATGTTAATATATTCGCTAAATTTATATACTTTATTAATTACTCTTCCATTTTCCGTGCAGCATGTGACTGATTTATCAGGAAGGGAAACCATGGTTCGTATCACAGGTATAATTTAATTATTTTAATTTTCTTAAATATTACCTTTTTGTATGCGACTTTGGGGTCAATTTGTTGATAAGTTTTTTAATTCGTTTACTGCTTGATTTCTGTCCTCGTGGCACATCTATTTTCCTGTATATTTTTATTATTAGTTCTGAGTTTATTACTTTTCGTCTGAAGCCCAAAATTACTAGTTTTCTATTATTCTTTTTTTTCTGAATTTTTATGACCTTGCGTAATATAGGTGGTATGAAGGTGAAAGCTGATAGAGATGAATCATCACCATATGCCGCTATGCTTGCAGCACAAGATGTTTCTACAAGATGCAAGGTTATTTATAATTCCGTTCTAAAACTCAATTCTTTACTTTAATCACTATTCGGTTACTTAAGACGGAAAAATATACAGGAGTTGGGTATTAACGCACTTCACATTAAGCTCCGCGCTACTGGTGGTAACAAGACTAAAACCCCTGGTCCTGGTGCACAGTCTGCACTTAGAGCCCTTGCTCGTTCCGGCATGAAGATTGGTCGGATAGGTACTTGACATTTTTTTTCGATTCACAAACATCATTTATCGATTTTTTTTTTTAATGTAGCAGTTATTGTATTTGTTTGAACATAACGAAATTCTAATAGTTTTAACCGAATATGCTGGTTTATTTATCTTTCAGAGGATGTGACTCCAATTCCAACTGACAGCACCAGAAGAAAGGGTGGTAGAAGGGGAAGGAGGCTGTAACTTTTTACTTGGTACAACCGTTTGTTTCAGTTGCCATTCGAATGTTTCTCGAATTTTTTTTATTTTTTTACAATGTGATCCACTTTTAGTTTAAACATGGATTTTGATGTCTGATTGTAGTTGAGAGTCTGTCGAACTTCTGGAACATGCAATATCAATGTCTTGTCTGAAAATTTAATCCTACTTGCTATTTTCTCGTCATATTTTCTTTCTTTTTCCTTTCTGTGTCTTTGGTTATGTTCGTTTCAAATTTCTACTGGGAATAAAATGTAATGACTCTCTTGCCAATAAATGCAAGACAGTGTTATTATTCCCTATATGGAGTCTCATTCTTTACTTTGTCAGCTGTCTTCATTCTGTTGCAGTTGATTTTCAAGAATGATACATGACTAGTATATATTTGAATTTTAATTTAATTTGATTAGTAATCTTATTAGTAGTATAATTAGAGTCATCATTTATCTTTAAATCTAATATAATCATTTTAGTGATTATTAAAATACAGTAGTAAATAAATAACTATAAAACAACACATGAAACTTATGTGTAGGATTTTTGGATCAATCTAAGACTTTATGAATCTATTTTTTTAAATATTATTTTTTAATTTGCCAGTGAATTGATTATAATATTTTTAAGTTCTAAAACATTCATCATTCTGCAAGATGATATATATTTTTTTATTGGTGAATTCTCTAAATCATTTATTACGGCTAATCATCTGTAAATTATTAAAATGGGACTCGCGCAATCCTATTATTTCATTGAGATATTAAATTATCTAAAAATTAATAATTATTAATTTATACATTACTTAATAATATTAAATAATCAGTTTATGAAATTATTTTTATTATCGTTATTTTTAGTAAATTTTTAAACAATGTAAGGATGAATTGTTAGACGGTTAAATTTTTCAAGAATAGGAAAATAAAAAAAATATGAATTGAATTATTGTGACAAAATGAATGTTGTATTCTTAAACTGCTCTAAAGAAAACAATGTAGTTTTAGAGATGTTGACTGATGAATAAATGATTGAGAGGATCATCGGAATTCAGAACTGATGAAGAGAATGAGGTTAATGATACTATAACCTTGTTTCTCGTACGGAAGTTCTTAGAGCAACGAGTTATAACAAAAGTACAATTTAGAGATGTTGACCGACGAGTAAATAATTGAGAGTATCATTGGAACCGATGAAGAGAATGAGGTTAATGATACTATAACCTTGTTTCTCGGACGGAAGTTCATAGAGCAACGAGTTATAATAAAAGTACTCGGACGGAAGTTCATAGAGCAACGAGTTATAATAAAGGGGTCTTAAGATATAGGTCCCTAGTGACAAAACTAATTAGAACTAAATGACAAGCTCAACTAAACATTTGCTTCACATCCTTTATTAAATTCATTCCAAAAATGCTCTTTCACTCATTTTTATTTTTTCAATTTTCAGTATGCATTTTTTACATTATTATAAATAATTTTTTTCCTTATTTATAACATTTTTTTTGAAAATTACGATTTTTTCTTCTTCCTTTTGTTAAATAATTCAGCAGATTTTAAAAATACTATAGTATACTATGATGTACTATGTTGTTTTATGGTGTACTATCATTTTTACACTATTATCAAAAAAAAAAAAAAAATTCTACAGTATTATTAAAAATTACAAAACTAAACTTGTTTTTCGTTTTTGTAAATTCAATATATATATATATATATATATATATATATATATATATATATATATATATATATATATATATTTATTTATTTATTTAATATTTTATTTATTGTAATACTATAGTAGACTATGGTACGGTATACTATGGTATTCTATGGTCTACTACGGTATACAATCAAACCCTAGCAGCCAACAACACACAACCCTAGCCGTCAACGCAGCAACCTTCAAACCCAAGCGGCCAAGATCTGCAGCCGTCGCTCTCGTAGTCACCTACCAACAGTTGGAAAACCCAGATCAGATCTCCTCCATAACCATATCTCCGCCGCCACAACCACCACAACCCCTCGCCGCCATCTCGACCACCACAGCCCACCGCCTTGACCACCACAGCCCGCTGCCGCCGCCTCAACCACCACAGCCCCCCGCCGTCGCCTCGACCACCACAATCGCTCGCCGCCATCTTGACCACCACAGCCCGCCGCGATCTCGACCACCACAGCCCGCCGCCTTGACCACCACAACTCGCCGCCCCGGTCAACCACAACTTCTATACTTCTGCTCTTTAGATCCTCTGATCTCTTATCTTTAATCCTTCTTTAATTTTTGCAATTTCACAAGTTTGCTAGTTTTCTCAAAATATTTATTTTCTGTCTTTGAGAGAGTGTGTGTTACGGTTGAGAGAAAAGGGGTGGGTGGGCGGCGGAGAAATTAGGGTGAGGAGAAAAAGATACATGTGATTTTTTATTAATTATATTAAGGGTATTTTCGGGTTAAATTAAAATCAAAGGATGTGGTTCAAATTTTATTTAAAAATAAGGATTTAGTTAAACTATTCTATTTGAGGTTGTCCCCAATATCTAATTAAGTTTGATTTAAGGGGTGTCTAACATATTACCCCTATAATAAAAGTACTCGGACGGAAGTTCATAGAGCAACGAGTTATAATAAAAGTACGTCAAAAGTTTTTACCATATTAAGAATAGCGATTGATACGGTTTAATGTGATATTGTCAGTTTCAACAAAAAATAAAAGAAAACCCAATCATATATTGTAAGTCTTTATAGATTTATCATATACTATGTATTTTCTGAGTTATACATAGGGGTGGAAATTGGAATGAAATTTCTGAATTCCGTCAATTTCGATCCGTAAATATCTGAATGGGAACCCATTTTTTCATTCCGATTTTCGATATTTTGATTTCCGATTTTTTTTTGGAACGGAATTGGAATTATATATAAAATTATTGAAAATTTCGATTTTCGATCCGATTTTATTTCCGAAATATATAATGTATGATATGGTTTAGATTTCTGGTCTCTCTGTGTGTGTGTATATATATATATATATATATATATATATATATATATATATATATATATATATATATATATATATATATATATATATATATATATATATAGTATTTCTGAGTTATTTTTCTATTCATATATTTGCAAGAACTATGTTTACTTTGATAAATTGATTATGTTGTTTTTACAAGTGTTTATATTTTCATCATATTGACTTTTGTTTTGGATTGTTGTATTTTGCCGGAAAATTACGAAAATATTAGGAAAAAAAATCTTAAAATCATCATTATTTCCGATTTTGGAACAAAATATTAAACATTAATGCAATTTCCGAAAATTCCGAAATTCCTCCGATTCCGATGTATTCCGAAATTTGAATTTATTTTGAAATTCTGATTTTTTTGGAACGAAATTGAAAACTATTTTTAACTTTCGAAAAAAATTGGAGAATTTCCGAATAAGGTATTTCCGATCAATTCCATCCGATTTCTACCCCTAGTTATACATTATTATTTTACATGTAGATGGGGTATGTAATTTTTTTTAAAATGTATTATTTTATAAATAATTAAATAAAATTTAATCCAATAATTGTAGTAAATAATCATTTAAAATTACACATCTTCGCGACTTACAATTAATTATATGAAATTTGATATTACAAAAGAAATGCAATTATTACTTTAAATATTCTATTTAGTAAATAAAAAATATACTATTTTACATTTGTCGTTGTATTTAATATTTTACAATACAAAATTATGTGTCAAAAGTATAAAATTATGACTTAATACAGTCTCTACAGTAGCGTTCTTCACATTTCATAAGCCCCGTCTTTTCTAAATTAGGGTTTATCACACTCGAATAGCAGAGCTCAGCCGTCTTCGAATTCGCAGCCCAAGCAATGGTATGTGCTTCAATTTCTGTTTTGTATGTCTGCATATAAATCTTTGCTTAATTGTGTAATTTGGCAGTGTTTAAAATATTGATTTTTATCAAGGTACCGCTCCGGAGGGCTAAATCTTCCTCTGATTGATGCAATTTTTTCTGATTCGTCTTCTCCCCTTCTTGTTTCTATGCAAATCGTAGCATGAGGTAGATGCTTCAGCATAAATCATTAGGGTTTGGGATTCAATTTTCATATGTTGCGCTTCCTGCGTGAATTGCTGTGCCGGCACTCGTAATTTGTAACTTGTGCTGATTTATTAATTGTAAAAACGACATGGGGATTCTTAGCAGTACTTCGTGTCGATTATTGTGATTGTCAAGTGAAATTATTTGGTTTGTGTGCATCTTGATTTTCTTTTTGACGTTTTCGTCTGTATTTTGCTATATCAATGCGGTGCAAATGTAACCGTTTCCTTTTCCTATTTTCGATGGGTTCTTTTGCTTCTGGTCTTTTTAACACTCCCTAGATGCCCTTGCGAAAAATGATGTAAATATCAAAGTGACACGAGCTTTGGAGTTTATTCCCTTTGGATTCTGATTTACAAAATGACTTGTTGGTTTTTACAGTCTAGGAGAAAGACTAGGGAGCCTAAAGAAGAGAATGTCACCCTCGGACCCGCCACTCGGGATGGAGAATTAGTGTTCTGCGTTGCTCATGTCTTTGCCTCGTTCAACGACACCTTCATTGTGAGAAATGCAGTGATTTTACTCATATTTTGGTTTACTGTCACCACCTTTGTAGAGTTATAGCTAAGCAATTAATTTACTTGCAGCATGTGACAGATTTATCGGGAAGGGAAACCATGGTTCGTATTACAGGTATGATTTGATTGGTTTACTTGTCTTATATGTTACCTTTTTTGTATGCAGCTTGGGGGTTATCCTTTGTTGATCACATGCATGCATGTTCGTTTTTGTGGTTATTGTTTATAAAGAATTCGTTACCTGTTTTATAACTTTAACTGGCTCTAGTTAATTTTAACCTGCCAAGTACGATTATCTACTATGTGCGTGTGTGTATGTGATCTCGTATTTAGTTGTAGATATCAGGGCAGAGGATGAAACTAATTTGAATGGGTAATTTGCATCTGATACTTTTTGCTGATGCTACACGACCTTGTAGACCTGATTTATCATCCGATGTTGATATCACGGGTAATAAAAAATGTTGTGAAGTTCTTCGTAATTGCGTACTATATACAAATTACCTGAAATTGATTCACCTTTCTGCTGATTAAGTGTAGGCTAATGTTTTTTTAATGTTTAGTTGTTCTGAGTTACATTCATTTCGTAAACCCTAAATTATTTTAGATTTTTTTCTTCTCAAGTTTGATGACATTTGATGTAATATTAGGTGGTATGAAGGTGAAAGCTGATAGAGATGAGTCATCACCGTATGCTGCTATGCTTGCAGCACAAGATGTTTCTACAAGATGCAAGGTTATTTATAATTCCGTTCTAAAACTCAATTCTTTACTTTTAATCATTAATCGGTTACTGAAGATGGAAAAATATACAGGAGTTGGGTATTAACGCACTTCACATTAAACTCCGTGCTACTGGTGGTAACAAGACTAAGACCCCTGGTCCTGGTGCACAGTCTGCACTCAGAGCCCTTGCTCGTTCTGGCATGAAGATTGGTCGCATTGGTACTTTTTTTTTTCTTTCTTTTTATATAAATATTGTTTATTGAATGTAGCAATTTCTCGGAATTGTTTGATTTTTTTGTGCATATCTAAATTTTGAATATGTTTAACTGAATATACCTGTTTATCTATCTTTCAGAGGATGTGACTCCAATTCCAACCGACAGCACCAGGAGAAAGGGTGGCAGAAGGGGAAGGAGGCTGTAACTTATCATTTGTTACGACAAAATCCGTTGCAGTTACCATTTCAATTTGAACAACTTGGAATATGTTGTCTGATTTTCTGGATACCAATAGTTGAGGGATAGAGAATTTTTCGGAATATAAAATTATCATCTTGTCTCTTCTCAAAATTTAATGTTATTTGCTATTTCTTATATGCTCTTATTTGAGTTTGCATATTTACTTCGTTGTTTTAGTGTGGTTTATTTGTTTCATATTTCAACTGGGAATATAATTAGATGTCTCTGTTGCCATTAATGCAAAAGAGCGTATTATTATTCCCTACATCGACTATCATTCTTTACTTTGTCAGCTAGATTCATTCCGTTGCAGTTGATTTTCTTGAATGTTACATGACTAGATTTTTTTGTGCAGTCTATTTGGTGGGTCTTGTGTTAATGGTTATTGGAGGGTTTATGTTACGATTATTCTTCAATTATAATAGTAGTAGTTTTTCTATGTTTGAGTTCCATGTTGTGAGGATCGACTCTAAGTTCTTATGAAAAAAAGATTACAAGAGTTGGGGAAGAAATGATTCGATTGTTGTGACTATTCTAATAAGTAATAACCGTATACAAGGGTCGTATAGAACGAAAAATGTAGTCAGGTGAAACCGTTCATTTGTTGGTTTTTTTTTCATGAAAAAATGCATTATTTGGTTCATATATGGAGCAAATATTGAAAATTTGAATTGCATAATTGCACTGAATTGAACCTTTTAAAATGAATTTTGTTTTCTGTATTAGGCCATCTCCAACCGTTTGTCTAAAAATGGTTGTCTATATCTATAATATAACGAATGAATAGTGTTTAAGCACTCCACTTTTAACATTGCACTCCAACAACATTGTTATTTTACACAATTATAATATTTAATTATTTTTATTAAATAATTTCTACATGCTATTCAATTATTATTAAATATTAATAAAAACGTGTATTATTCTAAACAATATATTTATATGTTGAATATTTAATAATTTTTGTTTTACAAAATTATTTGACTTTTATTTTAGTTAATATACTAATAACTAATAATACTAATTAATAAGTATACAAAAATAATTTTAAATTTGATAAAAGAAATTTCAATAACTTAATTGATAAATTTATAATTCATTATGAAATATTTTTTATGTTAATTAAAATGATAAATATTTTTTTAATTTTATTTATTATTAATACTAAGTAAAATAATAAATTTCATCTTTAGTACATTTATTTGCAAAAAAATAAGACAATATAAAATAATTTTTAATTATAAATATATTATATAGAACAATATAACATTATTTTAATATTTTTTGTATTAGCTAAATTGTAGGTTTGGTTTCTCAAATTTGAGAAGCCAAAGTTACAATTTAGCCAATTTGTTAATTATGCATTTTATTCTTGGAGCTCACTATTTTGATCTTGGTTGTTTTTTTTTTTTTAATCTTTGATCTTGGTTGTTCATATTGTGTATAATATAGGTTTACATTACACTCTTGGAGATGCTCTTATGTGCGTGGGCTAATATTCTGGAAAATCTTATAATATTTTTAATGTTATATGTATAATAGGTATTTTGGAGGGAAAAATAAAGTTTTTGTCTGTCAAGTTCGCATTGATTTCACATTTGATTCCCAATAATCTCAAAATACACATTTGGACCCCAATATTCTAAAAAAACATCTGGTCTTTCATGTTTCAGAAATTCAAAATTTTAAGTTATCTCCGTCAATTTTTCATTAGTACTAACATAATTAAGCGTGTGACGGTATATTGACGAAAATGATGAAAAATGTTAAACTATTGAAACACGAGGCATCAAATATGTTTTTTGTGAATATGGGGGACCAAATGTGAAATCATTGTAAACTTAAGGAATGAAAATTATGATTTTCCCTATTTTCGATATCTTTTATATAAAAATATAGATATGCTCAAATTTTATTTAAAATAAAATAAAATCACAGCAGCAAAGGCTCAAACAGTCCCACCACCATCACAATTATATTGAGCTAATTACACATAACCCCCTGTGTAATCTTGAATAGCCAAAAAAGTCCTTGTGTTATAAAAATTAGCAAATACCCCCCTATGTTTTGTTTGACAAAGAACTTCGCCCCTTTTTCTGAAATTGGCTGCTAAGTTATATGAAATTACTAAACTAACCCTGATAATATTTAATAATATTTCAATTTTAAATAAATAAAATGCATAAAATAAAATAATTAAAAAAAATGAAAAAAAAGAAAGAAAGAAGAACAAAAAATTTATCACGCACAGGGCAGTCAACTCATGGCATCATCTTGCTCCCCCAACCCTCCACCGCCGCACCACCACTGCCAACACACCCGCCGCACCACTTCAAACAATTACTTCAAAACGTTTTTAATTCAAATCCACCATTAGAGAAACGGAGAAGGGACGGGCAATTCTTCCAATTCTCATCTGTCAATTCTTCAATCTGAAGTGCCTTCGTTTTCCGCTGGGTTTCGATGGAGAAAGCAATTTTTTTTTTGTTTTTCCTTCTTTTGCAAACGGGCTGGAATTCTGGAGAGAGGGTGGGGGGCTGGAATTTTTTGTCCCCTTTCTTTTTTAGCAAATGAGCAAGATCTGAAGTAGGAGAGGGAGAGGAAGCTGATTAGGTTTTAAGAAATTATGAAAATTGCAATTTGGTCCTATTCAATTTGGAGAGAGGGCTTTTTTGAAATTATTAGGGGCTGAATCGAAAATTCTAAAAACTTCATTTCAGGCATGTGAAAAATCCGGGATAAATTTGTAATTTTCGAAAATGATGAGTTAGGGGTATTTTGGTCTTTTTAGGTCAAAAATCAGACTCCCAGACGCACAAACCGCGAGTGTATCACACCTTGAGCTCGGAGGGTCCTTTTTGGCTTTGACTAATTTTCACAGGGGGTTATGTGCTAATTTTTTTAACACGAGTGTTTTTTCGGCAATTCGAGATTATACAGGGGTGGTTTTTGCAAAAAACCCCAATTATATTAGCAAGAGTTGGCAGTTTTTTAATGTACAAAGCTTGGCAAATTTAGTTTATATTTCTTATTAATTACATTGATATAAGTTTTATTTCTTCTTTCACTATTGTGATTACTTGTTATAAATTGAATTAAATTAAGAAATAAAAAATAAAAGTCTGGAAAATTTCATTACTAATCTAAAAGTACGAATGTGATCGGATTTCCAAAAAATTCCGAAGTTTATTAATTATGGATAAATTTTTAGATTTCAATTTTTTTTTGGATTGAAATCTAGTTCTAATTTGTATCAGCAAAAGCAAATCCCACACATTTTCTGTTGTATATTATTAATTTATTAGAATTAAAATCCAAATTGATTTACTTTAACAATAATAATAATAATAATAATAATAATAATAATAATAATAATAATATTATCAACATTTACTATTATATGAATTATTATTTGAAATTATTAAGTGTTAAAAGTTTGACTTCAGTAGTATATTAAATATGATAAAAGTCAAAATTAACTAGATTTTATTTATATGTTAATTGTTTTTCAATAGAATTCATTTATCATTTATAAAAGATAGTATTTACAAAATTTAAAATAAAATTTTAAAACTATAAAATATAAACAATGTGTTGTACCCTAGTCCATAAGCCACCAAAAAAGTTTGATTTTAGGAGACTTCAAATTCTGTAAACCCTTAATTTGTTGTTTACCTAATTAATCAAATTGTCAAGTATTATGTAAATAAACTGATGCCTTGTGAGATTAAAGAACAGCATTAAAAGAACAGTAGACAAAACAACCAATGAAGAAGTTGAGAAAATAACCAAATATCAATCAGATACTTGGAAATTTTATTCACAAATATATACATTATTCCGACTAAAACTCGAAAACAAAAACTGAATCAAAAACCGAAAAAAAAAGCATCGAAAAATCAAATAATCGAAATTATTATTCGTCCGTGCGTCTCCCACAATCTCTGTCAAATGCATTATTGATCAATAACAATCCATCTCTCAATGGTTCATCTTCACTGGCTTACTCATACTCCATGCATTCAAACTATCAATCTTCACAGTCTCACTGCCATTGTTGAATGCATACAAATGCGCATTTCCGTACAATGCCAGAGCCGGATATACCCTAGACGTTATGCACGTCTTTCCTCCCGCTCCAAAGCTCTCCACCACCGAATTATCGATCTACGAAACAAAATTATTATTTTCAAAAAATATTAAAATAGATTGATTAAATAATACCTATATAAATAAATAAAAGAAGTATAAGGAAATATGAAATTATATATATATATATATATATATATATATATATATATACCAAACTCCTGAGAGAAAGCTTCTTTTCGTTCAAGTCCACGTTCACGAACCCTGCAAACGAGGGTCTGTACGCATCCTTCCCATCGTCCATCTTAGTCTTATCTACCGATGCACTGGACCTATTAACAAAGATTAAATTAATTAGTATAAATAAATTATAAATGTAAAATGCTACATATATATATGTATGGACAATTTTTATATATACCTTGATGCATCAGAGCACATAAGAACTTGATACTTGTCTTGATCCTTGAAAACCCTAAAGAAGACAGGAGTATATTCCTCAAGATTCTGTGAAGCCAACGTCAATATTCCGAACGGTCCCAATCCACCTTCGACGGTCGAACCCTTCTGGCCGCAAAGCTTCTGTGCATCATATCTATCCCAGCTTGGATCGAACGGCTCGGCTTTATCCAAGCTCCCGAACGAGAAAGTAACATCCACATCAGATTGTGCAGCTGTTATTCCTTTGATTTCGACAGTTTCGCCCTTGTTGAGAATCTTGTTGCTCAATTCCACTTTATTCTTTCTTAGGTTTTCGACTTCCTCGACGGGCCACTGCAGCAACTGCTTCCCGCTCGGATCGAGCGTAAGGGTACGTGGGATTAGCTGAACGCCGGCCCAACCCTTCTTGATATCTTTATCAGTAGAATCAGACTCATTAGCCCAACCCCAAAGAATCCTTCTGTTCTTGCTCGGGTCGAAGAAAGATTTGGAGGCGTAGAAGTTTCCGTAGTCGTACCTCAATCCATTCCATCCATCAATCATGTCCGGATCAGGGGTATATCTGTCTTTTTCGTAAGAACCCAAAGTGTAGTACTCGAACCTCGTGGCGTCAAGGCTCACCTTCAGCACGTGCTTCACGTTGGGCCCCACGACAGACGTGTCCAATCCATTCGTACCCGAAACCGAAACGGGGAAGAAATCCGGGCACTCCCAATTGCCGGTTCCCGCGGAAGTGTGCAGCGCGTGCTTCGCCTTAACCCAGTGCACGAAATCCCTACTCCTGTACAAGTACGAGATTCCTCTGCGGTTCCTTCTGCCGCCGATGGTGATCCTCCAGTGGCCGTCTTTGCCGAGCCATGCGGTCGTCGGGTCGCGGAAGAAAGTGGCGTTGATGGATGGATCGGAGACGATCAAAGGGTTGTTATCGGGCTTAATCCATTCGCGGAGATAAGGATCGGATAGATTAGCCGGGACAGCGTAGTTTTGGACTTGTGAGTTTTTGTCGTCGACGATTCCGGTGTAGAGGATAACGGGTTTGTTTCCGGGTAGGACTGTTGCCGACCCGGACCAGCACCCGTATTTGTCGAACGGCTTCGATGGGTAGATTGCGTGTTCGACTTTTTCCCAGTTGATTAAGTCTTTGGAGACTGAGTGGGCCCACACAATGTTGCCCCAAACAGCACCTTTGGGATTGTACTGGTAGAAGAGGTGGTACACTCCATTGAAGTACATTGGTCCTGTTTTAAAGAAGGTATGTTATTAATTATTTCAAGAATATTTTTTTTTTATTATTAGAATTAAATAATGGAGTGTGTATGAAGATACTCACCATTTGGATCTGATGTTGTTGATTCATTTTGTAATCACACACGTGGCACATGAAAAAGAAAAAAAATGGTTAGATAATCGATAAGAACAATGCAAGAATCCTCTCAAAAAAGTAACTTAATTTAACATAATAATAAATAGAGATATATAGAGATGCAACAGATGCATGAGATAGTGACGTATCACTGTCGTCATCAAGTAGGATATTTCATTGTGCCATTTTTCAAGTGGAAAATTAAAGAGAGAAAAATGGTTCAACTTGTTAGGGGACCATATGGAATAGTGGTGGTGAGTCCACACACTAGTGGATTTAATCCAAAATGGAATATTTTGTCTATTATTTGCATAGATCTTTAAATTGTACTTTGTGTCCCGTGAGTCACCGTAACTTACATTCCTCCATCAAAATTCTGTCGGACCCCGTAAATGCGGCGAGAGGGATTTCGCCATTTTTGGTGCATAATTAATGGTAAATATTTTATAATCCAAATCATGACTCTATGCATATATTGTGATTTGTGAGTCAATGTGTCATTAATATTCCTGCAATTTTCTGGGATGTGATCTTTGACCAAATTGAATTTCTTACCTCCATAACCTTAAAACATGCCTTGAAATCAAGAAAACCGACAAAAACAACATTAATTATTCAAACAATGTTTCAACTTTTTTTCTTAATCCGAACCCGAATAAACCCAAGATCCATTACCACATTATGGATCTATACATACATACATACATACATACATAGATACATACATAGATACATATATGATATATGGATGTTGTAAAAATTCAAAGGAAAGGGGGTTAGCAGTTACCGTTAATCCAGTGTTTGGTGGGCTGAAAGTGGTAGCCGGTACGGTGTTCCTTTCTGACATTGACGGCGGACAAAGACTGTAGGTGCATGAAAACGTTATGCGACGCTTCGACGCCGTTGCTGCTGTTTAGGTTTAGCAAAAACACTAAACAACAACAAACGTACACCACAACTGGCAAAGCCCAACGCACTCCTCCCTTCGCTAACTCCATCGGGCCGGGCTTTGACAGTCTACTACTATTTAAATACTAATTATAATTCTCTTATCTAACCAAATAAATATTTCTATCTGCAGTGAGATGATATTTGTGGAACAAAGTGTTGGTATTTATAGCCCTCAAACAAAACCTATTCGGGGGGGTGGGGTAGGGGTGGGGGTGGGGGTGGGGTGGGTGGTCGAGAGGAATTGTAGAGGATTTATTGATAGGGAATGGTCATTGGATAAGATACTGAATTCCCTATAATTTGTGTATTGGTTAAACTATGCGGTTGTTTTTTTAATTTATTTATTTATTTACATAATTATTAGTCAATTCAAAAGCCCTAATTAATCTCCTAGGATTTTGTGGATATTTCAGATATGGATATAATTTTGGTACACGTGTCATTATGAATTTATATCTATTTATATATTTCAGAGTGAATTAGTGGTAAGTTTTTTGAATTTATGTGTTGTATCGAATTCCTAAGAATTTATGTGTTATGACTTATGAATATTATTAGCAAAACACGCTTTATTTACTCTCTATTTGTTTTATATTACTTGTCTTTTTGGGGTATTTTTTATTTGTTATATTAGAGTTTAATAAAGTATTCATTTTATTTTCATTAATTTTGCCCCTTATCACTTTTAATTAATTAATTAAAAAATTAATTAATGATAAGAATATTTTAGTATTTAGTATGTTATATTTAGTAGAATCTATGCGTATTTATTTTCGCATCTAAGAAAGAGATTGTTTTTTTATGGGACAGTTTGGTAAAGAAATTTAAAAAAATTGAATAATTGGGGATTTTATTAATAAAATAGCATTAGGATTTTCTTAGCAATTAGAGAAGAATAGAAGGATGCCAAATGCAATGAACCCTAATTGAATTTAAAACATCTTGTTACGAAATTAACTCCGATGCACCCTCAATTCAAAGTCAAATACAAGTTTTGGTCAAATAAAAATTTGATTTAGATTTTGTTACGATGCATATAAATAGGATTATAAAAAAAATGTTGTGCTCAATTTCAAACATATATACCCCATCTCTCTAGTCAAACAAGGATCTGATTGAAATTAATTAATTAATTAATTACCATGCATATTTATTATACAATTATTGTGTCAATTTCAAACATACCCCGGCCCATTCCTGCATGCAGCAATGAAACAAAATCAGAATTATGAAAAACATGGGAACAAAAATAAATTAATTAAAACTCGTGTGAAATTAGATGAACGATTCAGCATGGTGATGAATATATAATTATATATTGAAGTATTGTCCTCCATGCTACAACTTGCAACTATGTCTCATACAATAATGATGTTAGAAAATTAACCACGGTTAAACCTCTTTAATTAAATTAATACAGTTGAGATTAAGAAAATTCTATTAATTTATTGAAATATAAAAATATTGAACTAATAATTTAATATATATTCTTTACCGAGTCGAGACCGGAAGAAATTATTATTGAAGCGATGGTTATTGATCTATCGAGGTTCTAGTAATGTATAATAGTATATAAATTGATACTGTGGGTCGACATTTTAAATGGTTTATAAACAAGTTAATAATTTGGGCTCTCACTTCGTACTCCTCATAACAATTGATCGCTAAGATTAAGTCACACTTAATTAAATATAGTGCAAGATAAATTTCTCACTAGTTCGATC